CAACTAAACCAATTCGTTCAACAGCAAAAGGCAAAGCAATCATTAAAGGGGCAGAAATTAATGCCATAAATGAAATCGAAAAAGTAGAGAATAACCAACAAATCCAAGAAAAACGTCGCCAAACTAATCGAATTATTGAATTTCCTGCTGGAGGAGGAAAGTGTGGTTGAGATTCTATATTGTCGTTAAAGGAATGTTCACTGGTAGCACCAGTTACGACCTTAAAATTAAAAAAAATATTGATGAAAGAGGGGCAATTTAATGGATAATTTATAGACAGAAAATGGGTTGGGCCTTGAACAAAATGGTTGGGCCATAACGGGTTGGCCTCGGACAGATTTTGTGAAAAATTTCTTTAATTAAATATTCGTTCAATTAGCAAAAGGAAATCTTGGTTCAGAAAATCTTGCGTTAAATTTCCCAAATCCAAATTCGGCCAATAAATTGTGGGTTTTTTTGATAAAAGAATATACACAGAATCCAAAACTTAAAATTCCCCTTTCTTCTGTAAAAGACCTTGTGTTAGCAAGAAAAAATTAAAAATTCCAGACCGTTGTATTTTCATCCACCCAACGTTCATCTATTGGATTTGGAACACCCTAAAAAAGAAAATGTCAAATGTGCAGAACATTGGTTAGTAAAAAAAGTGCAGGAAAATCCTCTGAAAATCTATCCTCGGATTCTGGTTTCATTATATGCGAAAACCCTAAATAAAAACAAAAATAGGAATTTTCCACTTTATTTTTTAAACCAATGTTCTGCACTTTTATTTAAAAAAATTTAAAAAAAAATTTGAAAAAAAAACCTCAGCCATTGCTGCAGAAAAATGTGGAAGCAAAAATTGTCTGTCAACATTTCCTCCACCTCCAATAACACTTCGATTACTTTTTATTTGTGGTTGGTGTCGAAAAGCTCTAGGCATTGGACGGTGAGAGTTGGAGAAAGGCCTTTCACAAGTTTTGGACATTTAATTAGAAAAATGATTTTTTGATTTTTGCATTTTTATGAGATAAAAATCTAAAAAATTATACGAAAAAATTTTAAAAAAATCCAAAATCGTCTTGTCAAAAATAAAAATCGCCATAAAAAGGGTAGGGGAAGACTCACTCAGTCGCCGATTCAGAGTACGGGGAAAAGGGGACGATTCAGAGTACGAAGAAAAAATATCCGGTACACCTCAATTGAGTCCCGATCCTAAAAATCCTAAAAATAAATATATCCTAATAAATATCCTAAAAATCGAGAATGATGAAATGTTGTTGTTATGCTATAATGGCATAAATAATCTGTAAAGAAACATGAAAACAATTAATTAACTTGAATTATGTCAAAAAGTCAGCAAGACTCTTTTGTCTTCACATTTATTTTCAGTCTCAGCACAAACCTAAACCTTTAGGCTTGCTTGTCAATAGAGTCTCGGCGACTTAGCATCGAAACGCCTTTTTCTATGCCATAACTTTTTTTATTTCGATCATTTCCAGAAATTTTCTTTATCAATTAGAATCTATATTTGTTTTTATTCTTTTTATTAACTTTATGAAAGGATCCGATCATTTCTTAGAAAGTTACACCCGCCTAACAATAAGTATGTTAAATCACGATTATTCGCAGTTGTCGGCTCCTAACTTTTTTGAAAGACGGTAAAACTTAACAAATTTTTATGAAAAAATAACACAGCACATCCAGAGCTTTTAATTAAAGCAAAAATTATTTGGATTGACTTAAAAACAAAAAAGTTATGTCCCAAAAACTTTCGTTTTGATGCCATATTTTAAGACTCTTTCGTTACCTGGTTACTTATAGCCTAAACCTTTTGAAGCCTAAACCTTTAGGTTTTTGAACATTTGAGTCTCACCACGTCTTCAATTTTTTAATTCTAGCTTTTTTAATCGTTTGTTCTTCTTAATTAGTGTATGAGGATGAACCAGAACTGATATTCTGGTAATAGAAATCCCATAAATTAAGAATCACATAGATAATTTTTGAATTTATTTATGAATTCCTTGGAGAATTTCATTCCTGGATGGAATAGAAGCGATGTTGGAATTTCGTCAACAACAGCCTCAACAACGGCCTCAACCCAAACGGCCCTCTTTAGGGCCACAAATTTAATAAGTGAGATGAGGACAATGAGTTTTATTTTTTGATAAATTTGTTTTCGTAGGAACTGAGAAAAACCACAAAAATCGCAAGAAAAACTGATTTTCTAGGTCCGAAAATGAATTCGTCCCCTTTTAGCCGTACTCTGAATCGGCTACTCTGAATCGACCTTTTCCCCCATAAAAATAAAGTGGAACGGGACAGAAGAGTGCCCCAACTTAGTGCAGAAACTAAGAGCAGAACCAAGAGGAAGCGGTTTCTTTATGGAACATCCTTTCTCCTTGTTGGAACAACTTTTCATGTTGAGGGAAAAAGTATAGGCTCCGAGTCTCTTTATTTTAATTTTTACTATTTTAATATTATGTATAACAAAACATTCCATAAATAAAGAACAATTGTTAAAAATGTTAAAATTAATGAAATTTCTTCATTAGAATCTAAATTCATTTATGAATTCCAAAATATTATTCTTCTGATCAACTTAAATTAGTTGTAAATTAAGTATAATATTGATAGTACTGCGCCCCAAAATCTTTCCCGCTCCCCGTTCCAGCAACACAATTATCTTTAGTTCCATAGTAAACATGTCCTCGACCTCCACGCTCGCAGTAAATGAAACAATCGCCTATGGGCGGATTATGACTCATTGACAGCCCCATCTCATTTTTGAATATATTCCCAAATCCAACGGCATTTTTTCCAAATCCCGACGCTAGATCCTTGGCACGCAATACTCGTCCTTCGGAGCAAGTTGCTGTTGCACCAACTGGATTTCCTGAAAGTTTACCATTTTCAATCAGCCTATAATTAAAGGGGAAATGAATTTTTGAATAATTCAAAATATTCCTCCATTAGTCAAATAATAATTTACACACCAATTTGACAAATAATGGGCACAATTATTGTCTTTAGGAGAATTGCATTTACAACTGAAATAATATAATTTATAAATTGTTTTCCTGATCAAGTACCTGTTTACATATGGTATTTCTTTCTTTTCACTCATTATGATTTTTGGTAATTTGGACGGGAGAATAGTCTGAAGTTTAAGGGGAAAATAATAAAGAAAATTATGTAATTTGTTAACTTTTTGAGTATACATAAAATCGAAATTTTAAAAATGTTCCCTAACCGTTTAGTAAAACAATTGATGAGTAAATACTGCTTCTTATAATATGAAGCAATATTTCTCTTGTTTCCTTCAAAAATCTACAATTCATTATTAAAACCTGATTCAATATCCATCTAAATAGGCAAGTACTTTGAAAGAGCGCCTTTAACAAAAGCCGCATACTTTGAACAAGTATTTCATCAAGCACTTTGAGAAAGATTTTAACAAAAGCCGAATAACATAGCAAAGTAGAGAAAAGCAATGGCACAAGATGTCAAACTCCATTAGTAATTAGCACAAAAACGTTGTGCTTCACTATCAACTGAATTGGCAGGAAAAAACAATGGAATGGAAATCTCACTATGAACGTTATAAATAATTAGGGACTGGCTCAAATATACACAGAAAATAGCAAAATATATTTATGTAGGATTGAAAAGAAAAGAGCCAAAAACTAACTAGATCCCCTCAGACCAAAGATTTCCAGCATAATTAGGACCAAGAGTTAAACATAAACAAAGTGAGAAAAGATAAAAATGTTCCAAAAGTGAGCAAAAATATAAATTAATAGCGGTTGGTAATAAACAAAGGGGAATAAATCGTTCTAATACATAATAGAAAGAATTTTGAATATAGAAAAATGTAAAAATTAAGTTTAAATTAGACGAAATATAAGAGAGAATCTGGATTTAAGCTAAATAACAAAAAAAACTTTAAACTATTTATGATCAGAAACAATAGATTGGGAATAATTGTTTAGCCTGAACTTTGTTTCAGGTTGGAAGACAGCCAAGACACTCAAATGTGGGCGGATATGCCTTGAAGATACAAAAGGGGTGTTTTTATGTTGTTTTGGGAAATTTAGGACCCGGTTTTTACCCGATTACTTAAGTTTGTGACTTAAGTCTAATGAGCATTGTTAAAAATAACATTCAGGACATTATTATATATAAGCCCTATCACAAACAAAAAGTTGGAGTTGTCAAAACAATTAAAAAAGAGACCGTTAGCAGTAGCTCATTGCGCGCACGGTGAAATTGAGCATTTAAAAAGCTACTAGTCTAAATATTTTTTGAATTAATTTATTAAATTCTTCTATATTCTGAAGCACATCCTTCCCTTTCTTCAAATTCAGAATTTATTCGAATATAAACAAAATTTCCAGTATTTTTAGTTTTTTTCCTTTCAAAAAAACTTTTCACAACTGTGCAGCTTTGTTTTATTTTGGGTAATTCACATAAACTATATGATAGGCAATGAGATTGTGTTGGATTAATTGATTTGTAATAAGCAAAGATTAAACGGTGACATTCTGATATTGAATTGAAATAAGTTAAATTTCGTGGGAGGCCATTAAACTGTTAAAAATGATGAAAAAGTTATTTAGTTTTTAAAGAGAGGGGGTTTTTTAAAGAGGGTTTTTTAAATTTAAAGGTTTGCAGTCTTTCTTTGGAAATGAGAATCTTTGAAGGGAAGGTGTGAAAAAATTAAAGGAAGGTACCGATCAAGAGAAAGGTCAAGGAAAATGGCGATACTAAGAAATGTAAAGGCAGCTGTAAACACATAGAAGTCATTAAGACTGTTTAGCTTGGGCCCTGTTTACAGTGTTAGGTTCCTAGTATGTCACCACGTTAAGATCTGGCAAATTGAATCCTGAAATCTTAGCTATTTCAGATCCTATAGCCACTATTGTTTATGCCGTGGAAAAGTTCAATAGAGGGAGATGGAATAGAGACATTGTGGAATGAGCCCAGACCGAAGCTCAATAAAGTGTATTCTGCAAGTACAATCACAACAATAGCCACTGGATCACCCCCCCCCCCCTCCCTCCCCCCCCCCCCCCCTCTTCGCTTACATTTTTATTAGTCATTTGTGAAAGAATAAAATTTGAATGTCTTTCCATTTCACTAATATTAAAATTTTTTAAAAAAGGATAAATAAATTCATTTTCTTTAACTCTATCTTCATTTGCCAAATGTAAAAGTATTGAATAATTAGTTAATAATTGTTGAGGTTTAAATCCTTTTTCTAAAAAGTGTGAATGATGCATCCAAAATCCTCTCAATTTTTTTGGTCTAACAACCATTTTTTCGTCGTTGTAAATATGTGACATCATTATACCCTTCTCCATTAAATTACGAAGATTAAATAAACGTGGATTTTGGGCTTAAATTTATTTTTTAAGTTAAAGTTTAATTCTAAAGACCTTAATTGTTAATACACCCTTTTGAGATTTATAGTAGTAAAAGAGGTTGTTCTTAAATTTAGGGTAGTAATTTTAGGGAGTTCCTTCTACCTAGTAGCCAACCAAATTTTAAAAAATGTATTTAAATCATGGGGTTATCTAGTTTTGGAAGTGTATCTCTAATGTTATACATGTATTACCATAACAGATTACTAACTAGAGCCCAGACGGTACAGTACTACGACAGTATTTTTCTGTATTTATCGGTATTCCGTATCAGTAGTATGGTACGGAATACCGACATAAATTTTTAAGTTGATCGGTATTTTTCGGTATTTCAGTACGGAATACCGTGCAGCACAAATTCCGGGCTCTATTACTAAAATGTCGTTAAAATCTTTATTGGAATGGCCGGCTTTTCTATTTTCTAATCATCGTCCAAAGGGCCATTCAATTGGAGGTGGCCATTTAAATAGATATTTTACGGGGATTGAATTTTTTGTTTAAAAATCAAAATTAATTACCAACATTTTTCTTCAAATTTTGCTTCCAATTTATTAACCAAAAAATAGGCTGTATTCGGATATTTAATTAAAGCTTCCTTAAAAACAGAGGGTAAATCAACAAAATTTCTACTCGGCAAAAGCAAATCATCCCAATCAATTAAACCAATAAATTCTGTATTTTCTCGAAATTCATAAAAACATTCGTGTGCTAATAATATCTGTCCATTAAATCTGTTTATTTTGTAAAATATTAGTAAATGCTAATACCGTATTTTCTCGATTAATTCCCCTGGGGAATTATTTTTGAAACTATTCCTTGCATGGGGAATTAATCGAGGGAGGTGAATTATTCGAGTTTTGGCATTTAAACGTGCAGTAGGGTATTTGGAGGTGGGGAATTATTGTTTCAACCCAACTCTAGCATGGGGAATTAATCGAGAGGGGGGATTATTCGAGGGAGGGGAATTAATCGAGAAAATACGGTATATGTTTTTGTCTTTCAAGTTAATCGAAAAGGATTTAATGTGGAATGAAGTAAGAGCTATTCCACATTTGGACACAATACTTCTGCTTACTCTCTTATAGATTATTAACCCATGCCGATCTTTTTTCCATTTATCCCCCCCCCCTCCTATTAAATCTTAACAATAGAGGAATTTTCTTGTGATTGATAAGAAAGGAAAGAATTAGGCCCCTAAACATCCCCAAACTATCCCCTCTTTATCAAGGTCCCACATCCCCAACTTAATCAACCACTTTTTAACAAATAAATATTAACTCAGTTTCAGCATTAGGATCCCATTGCATATTTTTAGAATGAGGAAATCGAATGCCTGGACGAACCGAAAGAATGCCCTCGCGTTCATATAATTTTAATAAATTATAAACTGAAGTAATTGCACTTTGTATATGAGCTACAACTAAATTAACCTGCAAAAAAATTTGTGAAAAAATTCCAAAATAAGCACATACATTTAATAATCTATACATTTCTAAAGCAGTTATTAACAATTGCCAACGTTCAAAAGCAAAAACTCTGCTAATACATAAAACTAAACTTCTTTGTTGTTTATCAGTCTTTTGTGGAGTAATCTAAATAAAAATATATCGAACACTTTAGAAATCCTAAACTACATTTTTTTGTTTTTTAAAGAATTTTATACGTAGAAGTGAAGCACTAAAATTAGATGACGACTTTAAGCCCCTATTTTACGCAGTTGTCACTCAATTTTACTTTCCCAGTTATTAAATTCTAAGAAGGAATACATGAGAGGTTTTCGCATTTCTTCATTGTTACTAGGCTTAGAAATATTGCAGAAAGAAGAGTTTAGTTATCGAGTCAGGGTTTTTCTAGATATCTCGATCGATCTTCAAAATCCTGTCTCTAGACCTATTTAATTAAAGGAAATAGTTATTTCCTCCAAACCAGTAGAGATGTACAACTCTTCTTGATCTTGATTCCAAGAATTTTCTTTGGGGTTTTTTCGGCCTTGGTCTTGGGGTCTAGTCTTCAGTCTTGGAAAGTTCTTGATCTCGCACGTCTCTCCAAACTAGCAGCTAATAATATTCTGTACCTCAATATTTGTATGCTTTCTCCACCCCAACCAATTCGGTTCGTTTAAACCAGGGCTCTCATCGACAAAATGCCACTCAAAAGTATCAAAATCTTGATAAAAAAGTATATAGGGAGAAAATTTCCAAATTTAAAGTATACTCAAAATTAAATTGGAAAATATTTGTTCGTGCTCAAATCTTTTATATTTCTCTCTTAAATGAATCTTTTCTAATAATTTCTTGCTTCCATTGGGCATTTTGTGCATTTCAACGCATGACATGTCAAAATTCGCTGATACAAGAAATAAAGCCTTGACAGTCTTAACCTCAAGCTTTCGTCCATTTTCAGCGCCGCAGGCGAAAATTTTTTGAAATTTGGAGCCCAAGAAGTCAGATTTCTCCCATTTTCAGCGCCGCAGGCGAAAATTTTTTGAAATTTGGAGCCCAAGAAGTCAGATTTCTCCCATTTTCAGCGCCGCAGGCGAAAATTTTTTGAAATTTGGAGCCCAAGAAGTCAGATTTCTCCCATTTTCAGCGCCGCAGGCGAAAATTTTTTGAAATTTGGAGCCCAAGAAGCCAGATTTCTTTCTTTTTCAGCGCCGCAGGCGAAAATTTTGATAATTTCGAAGGCCCAAGGCTAAAAAAATTCACTTTTTTGCCCAATCCCTTCCCCAATTTCATTTTCAATCCAAAATGTTGATTTTAAAGTATATACTTTCAATAAAGTATAAATTCAATTTCTTAAGTATGGAGGTCGGTTTCAAAGTATAATACTTTCAAATAAAGCACGAATGAGAGCCCTGGTTTAAACCAACAAAATATTTATTATTTTTTTGTTGTTTTCTAATATTTCTATTACAAGTCAAAACATATAAATCCATTGCACAAATACCCAGAGAGCTAATTAATTCTTTTTTTGAAAATAATTTAATATTATTTTGTTTAGTTTTGTTAATTATATTTTGCTGTGAACAAAAAATTCCATTGTGAATCCAGTGATTTTTGTGTGAAATAAATAATACTACAAGACTGAAATGAATTTTGAAAATTAATTTTTAAAATAATTTTTAATTAATGGAAGTACACAAAAAGTTTGAAGTTTCTCTCTCTCTCTTATACCCCTCGTCTTCGTAAATTTAGTCCTTGAACTTAAGGCTACGTTTACAATGGACACATGTACATAGATTGAGTGTATCTAACACCGATTAACGGACGAAACATTTGACAGAAACTACACAAATGTTTATTATTATTTATTTATAAACGGAGTTAAAGTAAAATTTTGGAAGTAGAAAATCGGATTTCCCCCATAATTAATTAATTTATATTTAAGGTAGGCTTATATTTAACAAAAAAAATTAATATTTTCTCGAAGAATCGAGTCAATATATCTCGTAAAACACCTCTGATTTTCTTAAAGCTGGTATAATTAATTAAACTATTTTCTTAACATTTACAAGCTCACATTTTTATAAATACATACTCCTTTTAAAATTACCCCCCTTCTATTAATGATTTTATATTTTTTTTATTTACCTTTCCTTTAATAAAAAACTAGTGTAAATAAATAAATGTTCTCGTATTTTTGGATTATTTAGGTTAAATGTTGATTTTTGTTGTTTTGGAGATGAAAATTTTCTTTAAAAAATTTAAAATAATTTATAAATGATTAATTCAAAAATTTATTGTTTAATGAATGCTTTATTAATTTCAGGAATTCTTGCCATTCTTCCGAAATCGTGAATTTATTTTTTATCCCTTTACAATCCACTTACATTTTATAAAAATTATAAATTTAAATAACGTAGGAAAAATAAATAATAATTAAACTTGCTACATATAATTTGTTGGAAAATAAAAAAATTTTTTTAATTTAAAAACATAATTTTTATTTTCCGATAGACAACCAATTTCCCTTTCGATCCGAATAAAAAAGGCTTGACTGGTGCTGCACTGTTCAGAGGAGTTTTAACAATTAGGAAAAACTCGAGGTAAATCTATCCCAAAATAATATTTCTGATGAGTGAATCTCTACCAATCCATTCATTCATTCATTATTTAATTTAAAAACCAACCCATTATTGTGCCAAATATCTTTATTTAGACAACAATAAAAAAGAGAAAATAAAAATAAATAACATCGAAATGAGGGATGACAATTCAAAAAATGTCGTCGACGAATAGCCGAATCAATTAAAGAAATTATTAAAAAAATTAAAATTTTTCGTAAAAAAGGCATTTTTATTTCAAAAAAAATAATTAATTAAATGTTTAAATTGGGGGGAGGGGGGGGGGAGGAGGAATAGAAAATAGAAGAGATTTATTTTTGAGATAAGTAAATTAAAATATATTCCAGTTTGTTCTTTTTAAAAAGAATAAAGAATCTTTAAACTTTCACTTTTTAATAAAAAACGGAAGAATGGATATTAAGAGGTTGCTGGATATGCTTTTTTATAAGGAGTATTCAGTGGCAAATACTACAATGTCGAATTTTCGATTTTTGTGTTGATTGGAACTTGAAAATAATTGTAAAGGATTAAAATTTAATTTTAAAACTAAACATTCTCACTTAAGGGGGTAATTAATCGAGGGATAGAGGGAATGTAGCAGCACAGCATTTCCTATTTTTCCGTGCATATTTTGTGAGGTTCTAATTAGTTGTACATACTGGATTTATATTTTTATACCAAACTAGAAACAACCCAAAAATTAAAATTTTTTTGAAAAATTGAAATTAATTCCTTAACTTTCACTAAAAATGAATAAAGAAAAATATTTTCGTTTACTAAAATTAAAATTAACTGAGAAAAATTTTTTAATTAAAAATAGCCAAATATATGTATATAAAATAAAAATTAAATTTTAAATCAAAATTTTTCTTTTTTCAAGTTTTACTCAAAAGTACTTCATATTCTCTTTACAAAGGTTGGGAATAACGCTGAAAAATTTATTTGTTTTTATTTTAATTATTAAAAACTAACCGAAGATTTATTACATTTTTTGGATATTCCCTCCATTCTTAAATCATATATATTATAGCTAATTGAATTTTTCCCTTTGATCTTAAAGGGTTTAAAAAAATATTTTGATTATATTAAAAAATTTAAAGTTATTGTAACGAAATAGGGGGGGGGGGGGGCTGAAGAGAGAGAAATGTAGGGAAATCGAAAAATTGTTCCCATTTACTCACAAAAAACTATGAAATTCGAAATAAAATTTCGATTTTTAGTTTATTCATTCTTTTTGATAAAACAAGGAATGAAAAAATAATTATCAGGGATGTTCGAATTCTTTTTCTCTCTACGGACATCCCTGATAATTATATTTAGCTGAAATTGGAGGAAATTTAGCTCGAATTAAAATAGGTCACCAAATAAGGAACATAAATCCAAAAATAATTTTTAATTTAAACTTTTACATTATTTAATTCTTCTTTTTGAATATTATATAATTCACAAATATATTTATTTTGACTTTTTAAATCTTCAATTTCCTTTTTAAATTTTTTCTCATTTTGTTGTAATTGTTGAATTTCACAATTCGCAATTTCTAATTTTTCATTAGCTTCTAACAATAAATTTTGCTAAAATTAATTTTTTAAATTTTAATTAAAAAAACTAGCCAAATCAATTTCTGTTTGTATAACCTTCATTTCATTCTTTAAAATTTAATTTTAAATTTAATTTTTAATTTAATTTTTAAAAAATTATTTTCTTAACCTCCAAAGTTCGAATTCTTTTTCGTCTCTTTTCTTGTTCATCAATATAGTCATTAGACGAAGATGTTGGTATATCACTCATTTTAAATTGGAAAAAAAATTCTAAAAAATATTTTAAAAAAGTTAAAATAAATACTTAAAATATTTTATTTTAAAAATAATGAATAAAAGTTTAAAAAAGTAAAAAAAATTTTTTTAATTTTTCCAAAAAGTGACAAATTAAAAAATAAAATCCTCGGACTACTCCTTCTACTTTACTGCAAGGTTATTATCAAATTTTAATATTGACAAATTTAGACGATTTTGGAATTAATCGACTTATCCCTTTAGGACTTGTCGAACTATTCCAAATTTTAAGTTTCGATATTTAATTGACTTTAGAGTAAAATTGGTTTGCAGTAAAGTGGCTTTTCCGTAATAAATTAAAATTCAAAACAAAATTCATTTAAAGAATAAATCATCAAAAAATATTTTTTAATCTCAGTCACTCCCTCTCACTCCCTCATTCATTTAATAAAATTCTTCAAGCAAAAAATGCTTAGAAATGTCATAGCTAAAAGGTTTATCCTTCAAATCATTCCCAAAATTAGTTTCAACAGAGCAACACTTTAAAGAAATAAAAGGTTCATAAACTTCATTTTCAAGCAAAACAGCCTTCCCTTTAAATTAATTTTTAATTAATTTATTTAAATTAATTTCCAAACCAATTTGTTTCCCATTTTGAGTAAAAAATAAATAAGGCAATTTTTCATTCAAAACAATCGACGGATAGACTAACCCACATCCAAGAATATCGTTATTTTCAAAGGAAAACGAGTCAATTTTAAATTCTTTTCCTTCTTTCGATTGAAATCCATAATAAATTTTAGACTCATTTGCTTGTAATCTAATAAATATATTATTTGTATTAACACCTATTTGCATCTCAATTTCATCAAAATTATTTTCCATCAGACATTTTACTTCGAAATAAAATAATGAGAAAGTATAACAATTTGGTGGTTTGTGGAATTTATTTGGTGAATATACAAAAGCTTTCTTATTAACACCTTTAAATTATTTTAATTGTTTTGGAAAAAATGTAGAAATTTTTGCAGACTGAGTTTGTGCTTAGAAATACCTAAAATTAAACCTAAAGTCTATACCTAAAATTAAAACTTTTAGGTATAGAATTAGGGTTGCCAAAATGGACCGACTCGGACCGAAAGATCGAGTCGGTCCTAAGATATTTAACCCAAAAAAGACTCGTACGACCCGACTCGATAAGGTTAGGCCCGAAAGTGACTCGTACTGGCCCGCAAAAATAAGCTCGAAAAAATGCATAGACCGCCGGCCCGGCTCGAAAACGACAACCCTATATAAAATAGAAATCCCAATAGACATCCACAAGGGGCAATCCGCAAATATAAATCTGTCACAAAACCTACCCTCTCCTTTAACACAATTATTGTATTTAATATCCAAATCATTTATTAATTCAATAAAACCATTCTTATTAGCACATTTCCCCGTACGTCGTTTTGTGTTAATACATTTATTTGTGCAACAAGGATTCCAATCTGTATCAACATTTTTCCATTTATTTTGTTGAAATATAAATGACTAAAATAAATAAATTTAGAGAAAAATATTTGTTATAAACTAACAACATGCTTAAAAGTAAATTCTTCCATATCCAAAGCCAATTTGTCAAACTTATTGTTAATCTAAAATTAAAATTAGTCTCCTTAAAATTAAATCCCCTTCCCTCAGCTCCCCTTTTTCTATCAGAAAATTTTCGCCTCCGGCGCTGAAAAAGAATTCGAACCGCGTGAAAAATATGCAGCGTTTTTTGTAATTTTAATTATTTTTAAGCGTTTAAAATAACGCCTTGTTTTGCCCCATTTTTGTCCGATTTCGCCTCATTTTTGCCCGTTTTCTGAGAGGCCATGGCCTCTTTTGGTGATTTGTAAAGGACCACCCTGCCTTCCCTCGCATTAATTTTAAAATTTATTTCGAAAAATTTTCTTCATTTTTATCACCACAAAAAACTCACATTATTTAATTCTTCTTTTTGACTGCCATATAATTCAGAAATATATTTATTTTCATTTTTAAGCTTGTCAATTTCTTCTTTAAATTTCCCCTCATTTTCTTGTAATTTAACAATTTCAAGATTTGCAATTTTCAATTTTTCCTCAAGCACATTTGACTTCAAAAACAAAATTTGTTCAGCTTCTGTAGGATTTAGATGAGAAAAAATATCGCTATCATCAGAAGAAGTTGATGATGTATCATTCATTTTCATGAATATTTTTTTTAAAAATATAGCAAAGGATTCTAAAAAATTTTTTAAATATTATAAATCCATTTTTAGTCACAAAAACAATTTTTGAAAAATATTTTTCAGTATTTTAATGAAATTTTAAAAATATTTTTTTAATTTTTATTAAAATTTATTATTTTACACAAAAAATAAATGAAGCAAAATTAAATGAATGAGTGTAATTTATAAATTGTTCTAGCAAGAACTTTTTGTTAAATATTTGCGAAAAAAATGCCTGTCAATATATAGGTGTGATTTTCTGTTTATTTTCACAAGTACAAGTGCCAAATTTAAAAAATGACCGTTAACTATTTTTAGGATTCCCCAAATTTCTATGTTAGGGAAACCATCGAATTTCGCCTTTCTTCGAAAATTTTTTAGTTCTTCAAAACCAAACTGAATTTCTCTGTGATAGTTTTATTTGATTTCTAAATCAGTTAATTTTGTTATAGAAACTTAATTATTTGACTTTCCAGTTAAAAGTATAATGTAAAAAAAGTTTAATGTAAATAAGGAACTCAAATGCGTCTTTCAGTTTTAACTAGGTTTCAGTCATCAAAGTCTGTCAAACTTAATTCTAAAAAGCCTTGAAAAGTTAACGGTCAGAGATCACTTTTAAATATATGTGATGGCTCGAAATAAAACAAAAATATAAAAATAAACAATTTTTGAATTACTAGTCTTTTGTTAAGGTCTATTTTTCTAAGCTAATAAATTAGTAGTTTCTGCATTATTATTTCTGAGATTATTGCTATTGGAATTTTCAAAAGAAGAGGATGGACACCAAAAATTACGTGCATTTCCAAGACATCCTTTGCTAAAAAAATTTTCTTATAAAGTCTTCAAAAATAATTTTTTAGAAATACCTAAAAGGACTTCTTAGTCCATCAGAAAGTCTAAAATAGGAGTATCTATATGAATTAATCCGCTCATTTGTTGTTACAGCTGTCAGTATCTGTGAAGAAAAAATATTAAAAAGGATAAAAATTAAAATATTTCCCGTCTCCAATAATCTTCAGAAAATAATTATTTTTTTATTTACCTGATATGTTTGTATTCCCAATAGTGTTGTTATAAAAAAGAAATAAGTTGAAGACATAAACCCCAAAACTGTAACAAATGGCAAACAAAAAAGAATCACATTTGGATTGGAAATATCTCCACAAACAAATTTCCAATCTTTAAAATGATTTTAAAAAAATTAAAAATATCAATTCTCTCTTACAAAAAGTAGAGCCAACAAACATTAAAATACAAGCAAGATCCAATACAAACAAATAAACAAAGAAAAGTCCTGAAAAAAGAAAATGATGTTTGATTTTTCAGTGGAGAAAGAAAGAAAAAATAATAAAAAAATTTTTTTCTTATTTTAAATGGTTGACTCATTTAAAATATGTCCGAGGGTTATTTGATATTGACGTGCACAAGAATAAAGTTTATCCCATGTAGAAATGTACAATGTTTGTGAAGGTGAACTGGGAGTAACAGACGAAAGGAATCAGGGACTAGCCGGGCTAGCAAGGGCGTATCCAGGGGGTCGGTTTCGGGGGGGCTAACACTGGGTGGGCGCAAAAATTTTTGGCGTTTGCCTTGGCGTTCCGGACGCAAATTTTTTTGTACATAAATTTTCATCTTTTCTGCGCCACAGGCGAAAATTTTTTGAATTTTAGAAGGCCGTAGGCAAAAAATTCACTTATTCAGTGCCGCAGGCGAAAATTTTTTGGAATTTGGAGCCCAAGAAGCCAGATTTCTTCCTTTTTATCGCCGCAGGCGAAAATTTTTTGGAATTTGGAGCCCAAGAAGCCAGATTTCTTCTTTTTTTAGCGCCGCAGGCGAAAATTTTTTAAAATTTGAGGGTTGTAGGCGAAAAAATTTCACTTTTTCGACCATTCTTCTCCTAATTTTTTCCCCCTTTCCCCCATTTCGGGGGGGGGCTCTAGCCCCCCCCCCCCAGCCCCCCCCTGGATACGCCCTTGCGGGCTAGTATGATCCAACTAGACTGATCCCTTTCACTGGCTCACACAAACACACACATTGTCAGATAGAGGATAAATTAAAAATAAGTTAGGCGAGCCAATAAATAATAATAAATATTTTAAATTTAATTTACTATGATTTTTCTCTCCAATACAATTAGCTACCCTGAAATACAATTCTTTACAAAAAAAATTTTTTTAATTTAAAAAACCAAGGACAATGATGATCAAATCGAAGAACACATTTATCACAAACTCTAAAAATTAATTTTATAAAAATATTTAGTTTAAAATAAAAACAAACGCGCAATGTTTAGAACGTATTGGACGAGCTATTAAACAAGTTGGACAAAAATTGCCGTCCCAAAGGACTTCTTCAGTCATTGAAATAATCATTTGACAACGTTCCTGAATATACATATAATTAAAATTTTTTTATTCAAGAGTCTGTGAAAGATTTTAAGTTAATGAATATTTATTCAGTTAGCAATAAAAGAAAATGGATTAGGGCGAAGGAGCGAGGATTTTTCTATTCGGTTCCGGATATTCTAACGTCTTTTTTGGCCTGATAACCTAAAATGGGCAAATTGTAAGAAGAAATAAATATTCACACAATCAGTTTGGGTGGCCTATTACTTATAAAAAGATAGTGATTTATTATGGCCTAGATTAAATAGAAGCCAAAATTGAGAACAGTACAATTTAAATTAAACTTAAATTAAAGTTCCAAAAAAATTAAGAAAATTTAAAAATAAACCTTATGCGTTACAACAACAAAACCGGGATCAGAAGTGACTATTTGATGAGTTAAGTAAGGAACTAAAACAAGAAAGAAAAGAAAAGCAATTTGCATATGCCAAGCAACAACAGAGTGAATAAACATTAGCCAAGCAAAAATCATATAAAATTTTGAAGAAATTGCCAATCCAAAAAGTAAAATTCTGAGAGAATATTCTTGACGATCTTTTGAGAAATATCTTTTTAAAAAATTAATTTTTAAAATTAAAAAAATTAAAAAAACCTGAATAAAAATAAAATAAATGCTGTCAAACAAAAAGAGAATTCTAATTTTGTAATGGTAGAAAGTGAACAACTGGCAATTAAAGAACCGAGAAAAATGGCGAAAAATGGCAGAGAAAAGATAACCGAACGACGAATATTCTAAAAAAAGAAAATCATTATTAGGATTAAGTTTAAATTGGGCATATTCAATTGAAAATAACTGGTGTCTCCACACTTGCGGAAAGAATAAATCATCGGGTTGGATAGTGGCACAGTCGGTTGTGCTGCGATCTGGGCTCATTCCGTGATGGTCTTACTCCATCTCCCGTCCAATGAATTTTTCCACAGACAGATATAATAATAAAAATCACTTTACTTTAAAATCTAAAGTTGGGATTCAACAAACAAGTCAGGATTTTTGTTGTAACCAGGACAGTATTACTCCACTAAATCCTCCCCGAAAAATATAAAATTAAAAACTAACCATATTATCACGCAATTTTTGTCTGCACTTTGAAGGAATTAAGCCTTGTTCACGAGCTGCCATTTCAATTAAACGAACAGAAAGGAGGTCGCCCCTCCTCCTTGCAATGTCCAATGGAGTTTCATTTTCCTTTTTTAAAAATTAATTTAAATGAAATTTAAAGTTAAAAAACATACTTTGTTTAATTGAGATAAATTAACATTTAATTTAATGAGTGTACTAACTGCCATATGATTGCCTTGAGCAACAGCCCAATGAAGAGGTGAATTTCTTTAATTTAAAAGAATATAAAATTTCACTGGTAATCAACTCGGGATTATAATCGTGCAGTAGGATTGTTAAGGAATTAACTACTCTAAAATAGTGAAACTACTGTCACAGGAATCGAACCTAGGTATCTGGTATTTAAAAGTGTAAGTTGACACTTGCCAGCATTAACTGTGAAATTTTACGTGGATTATGACCTGATTTTGACTTTTGTCTGATAATTTAAACCTATTGTTCCCTAACTTAAAGAGAATATAAATACCTATAAGTAGAATCAGTTTTTTCCAGATCAGCCCCCAATTTTGCAAGCATTCTTAATGAATCTTTACTACATGCTTTATAAGCTGCCCATATAGATGGTGTCATTCTTGTTGTATCCAATTCATCAGGAGACTGCCCCATTGCTATCTAAAGAAGTTATTTAAAAATACTTTTGAATAAGAAAAATACAAGGTAAGCAGCAACAGGAATACAACCAAATTGGACAGCTACATGTAAAGCAGTGAAACCTTCAACATCACGAATAGTCCAATCGGCGCCATTCCTCACCTAATTAAACTTTAAAAAATTTTTTAAAAATTTTTCATACCAAAACTGCAACCATTCTAGCGTGTCCATGTCTAGCTGCCCAATGTAAAGGTGTTGAAGCTAGAACACCTCCAACGGCGTTTACATTAGCACCTCGTTGTAATAAAAGTTTAGCAGCCTTTATAGAATTTTCTAAATTAATTTTTTTAATGCTTAAAAACCTCTATTCTATTATTTATTGCAGCCCAATGGAGGAGTGAACAATCATCTTGATCGACCTGAATTGTTTCAAATTTATTAAAATTAAGAAAGAATTTACCGAATTTGGGGAGACAGAACATGAATCCAATAAACTGAAATAAAAAAGAAACAAGCATATAAATTTAGTAAATGGAGAAAATGAGAGGAAGGATAAAGAGAAATGACAAAATCAAGCAATTAAGTCCCTAAAATTTATTCTGAAAAAATCTAACATCCGGCTCAAACCCTAAATCGCATTAGGAAACTTTATTTTGGATCGCTCCTATGCTCATTAGGATTACCAACACAACTTATCACCTCATAAATTATTTTTATTTACCTCAATAACTTATTAACATCTCCAAACTGCGCTGCTTGCCTTGCTTCAAGATCAGGATTTGACGCAGGTGATGGCTGCATTAGTATCTTTTAATATTAGCAAAACATTACTAAAGAAAAATTAAACAAAATTAAATTTAAAAAAATAAAAATGTTTAAAAAACATTTTGAAAAATAAAAAAAACAAATTTAATTCAATTTTTTATTAAAGCATTACAAATTTTGAAAAAAAAATTAATTTAAAAAAAGCAGCCAACTTCTGGGTGAGATTCACAATCAGAAAGGCAGAAATAAACACATTTTATAAAATCAAAAAAATTTAAAGTGAAAAATGCTTTTTTATTTTGATTGACAAGAAATTCTTTTTTCCCATCCTTTCATTTAAACAAAAGTAGCTCTTGGAGTACTTTCACCTGAACAACAGTTAGGGACAACACCAATTAAACGACTACTCATTTTTTCATGTGATATGGCACCATCGATGTGAAAGGCAGTTGATAAACGGTCAGAGTCGTCAGAGTCAGAATTTGCTAAATATAAAAATTAAATTGCTCTAATTTTGTAAGAAATTCCTTCAATAAAAAATTTAAAGAAAAATTCTCTAAAAGACACTCCATAAGAAGTTTAACTCCCTTAATAAAAAGTAGGTCAAATACATCCCAATCCGAATTCTCATGAAGCCTTTTAGGGATCAATGCATTATAGTAAGTAAAAAGACCTGAAGCCAAAAGTCGGTCTCGCATAACCGTAGCTAACTCCACAAAGGCATCTTCACAATTAATTCCCGTTTTTGCACTAACCTCAAAAAGTGAAACGCCCAATCTTTTTGCTAACCTTTAAAAATATTTTTCTTTTAATTTCCAAAAAAACTTTATTTAAAACCTTTCAGCTTTATCAAACTCAATTTTTCGTTCCGGTTCCATATCCGCTTTATTCCCAACCAAAAGTAATACGGCGTTTTGAGGTGCGTGTTCTTTAACTTGAGTAAGCCAGTAATTCTCGAGATTTTCAAATGATTTTTCACTGGTCTAAAAATTATTTTGAATTCCTTATTTGTTCACTTTCAGAATAAAAATATTTTAAAAATGTGTCCCGGCTCCTTCAACGGTTATAACTTACTGAAAGTGGTTATGGACGGTTAAAGAAATTTACAAGTTAAGGTCCCTGAACCCATACCTGGGAAAGCCGTGTCTAAAACTAATCGACTGTGCAACTTTTTTAAAAATAGAAGAGACAACCTTTAAATAACTCCAAAAAATAATTTAAAAAAACTAACAATATCAAAAACACAAACAACTCCATGTGCTGAATCTTAAATTGAAAAATTTGAGAAATAAAAAACATTTAAAATTAAATAATACGATAATAAGAATTGTATATAGTCCGATATCTTTCCATTCCTGCAGTGTCCCTAAAATAAAAAAATATTTTAATAAAATCTAAAAAAAATAAACAAACCAAAGTTCTAACCGAATTTTGTCACGTCCCAATTTTATTGTTTTTAATTTAAAATCAACGCCTAATGTACTGATATGGTCTGCTCTAAAGGCATTTTCAGCAAATCGTAAAAGAATACACTGAAAAATAAAATATTTTGGTAGTGTTTAAATGTTATGTAAGATTCAGAAATAAGCCAGTCCAAGGGGAGTCCTTACAAATTTCTAGGGTAATTAAATATGGGAAGACGGTTCCTTTGTTCGCACCAAACAGAAAAACACATTACTTTTAGCCAACTTTCGAAACAAGAAAATGTCCCCACTAAATAACCCCATCCCTACTAGCAAAATTTATTAAATGAAACTAACCGATTTTCCTACATTATGATCACCAACAACAACAATTTTAAATAAATAATTATAACTCATAATTTTATAAACTATGTATCTATTCTAAAAAAACCTGAAAATTTTATTAAAATTAAATTTAAAAAATAAAATAAAAATATTTCATAAAATTATTTCAATAAAATATTAATTGAAAAAAATAATAAAAAATTACAATTTATTAGCAAGCATCACAAATATAGCTTTTTTAAAATATCTTTTCTGTTAATATATTTTTAAAAATAATTGTTAAATTTTCAAGCCCCAAAATTATAAAAATTATTGAATATATTTATTATGTATTTGGCCCTTTTTAAATTAATTTTTTTTCTCCTCTTTAGGCATTTTGAATTTCAAAAAGATTTACTTCTGTGTCATACCAAATAGCTGGATCAACATTTCTTAAAAATCAAAAAAACTGTTACTAAAAACTTAACAGAAAGTTTTATTTATCTCAGGTTTTGTAGAGACAAATGGAATAGAAAAATAGAGGAACTTATTTAATCCCAAACTAGAAGGAGGTTAACAACTCGACAGTCCAACAACCAGGAGCCAATGTAAGGTAGGTGTAAGTGACAGAATAACCCGAACTAAAAAATGAAAAAAACTCTAAAATTTAGCTTATTTATTCTTGAAGGACAATCCCTCCCTATCTTTATAAAAAGATAATTCTCTATTTCCATTTATAAAAAAATATGAAACAAACCTTAAGTAAATAACACCCCAAGTGTATGTTCTAAACCAATTGTTTGTCCCTTCATTAGCAATGTATCTGCGAATAAGTATTGGATGAGGTACTGGTAAAAGTCCAACAAGAGTTCCATGTTGTAAAAATTTTAAAATTTCGCTTTCGTCAGTTAACCCTCTAAATAAAATAAAAATTTCTAAAAAATTTTCAAAGAAATTTCAAACTTGTCAATACAAATCTTCTCAACTTGAGGAACCAAAATTTGTAACACACGCATTATTGTTTGCAAAGGTAATTTACTCTTCCAAGATTCTACCCATTCTGGGGTAGCTATCCATTCCTCTTCTTCTTCATCTTTCTTTTTTTCATTTTCTAATTTTTCTTTAGAATTTTCTCCTTTCTTTTCTTTAGGAATTTGTTTCTGTTCATTTTTGCCTTCCTTAGCCTCATAATTTGTTGTCATTACATCAATTGCTGGAGTTTGGGCGAGTGTTGAAGTTGGACCAATTGGAGCTTGAAATAATTTTTTTAATAATAAAATTCCAAAAAATTAACCTCTTATTTCATTCTTTTCACCAATTTGTGTAATTTCCCCGGCAGATTCTTCCTCTGAATCCTTTGGAACTGGCTTTTTACCTTTTCGTAATCCTTGGGCTATTGAAACAGAATCGGTTTGAATATTACTAAATTAACAAATTAAAAAAACAAAAATAAGAAGAAAAAAAACCTTAATTGGTAGAAAACATGTCGTTTTCGTATTATTGTGTAAATTAAATTAGAATTACCTAAAAATTGAATATTTTATTAATTAGTGGAAAATATTATTTCTAATTATTTTGAATAAGAGGATATAAAGCCTTGTTTTTCTAAATCCTTTGGGAATTAAAAAACAAGTCCAAAAATTAATAATAAAATTAAAAAATAACCATCAAATTGATATTGAATAATATTATTAAACATTTCCAGAATAAAGAAAATTAAATGGTGATTTGTTGGAGAGGAAAACATAAACCAAGGAGTGCTAAAAAATTTTTTAAAAAACTAAAAGAATTGAAAAACCTAAATGCTTCAACCAAATGAACCAATTTATTAGCAGTAACCATAGACAAAGATTTGAGATATGGCGAAACTAAAAAAGGAAATATTAAATTAGCAAAAAATGGATAATAAAAATTAGAATTTTTTGGGCTTTGCTAGATTGTAAAAAATATTAAGAAAAAATTTCTTAAGAAAGATTAATAAAATTTAATTCAGCTTCATATAAATTTTTTAGTTAATTTTTAAAAATAAAAGAATTTTAAATAAAAAAACACCAACCATTAACAATAATTGTCAACAAACAATCAAATAGAGATTGCAATTTATGATTCCCACTAGTTATTAATTTATGAAAAACCTTTAAAAATTAAAAAAAAGTCAATCAAAATTTAATTTAAAAAAATTACAATAATTAAAAGATCAGCATGTGTCCCAGTAAATATAGGAACATCAATAATTCCACGAGAAGTGAAAGGCTAAAAAAGAAAATTGATAACAACAAAATTATTAAAAAAAATTAAATACTTTATTTAAACGAACACCAAAGTTTCTTTCTCCACTCAACAATAAAATTAAAAATACACTCATATGCACAAGTCCAATACGTGAAGGGTCTGTACGAGAGTCGTTTAAATGATAAAGTATAGGAACGAGAATGTCAAGCATATCACTAGTTTTGAGAATAAAATAGAGAAATTTCTGAAAAAAATTAAATGTTTATTTAGATTGACAGTTGAAAAATTAAAAAATAGAAAGTCATGAAGAAATAAAATTTTTGAAACATTTAAAGAAAGATAAACTAGAAATGAAAAATGGTGCAAATTTTAAACCAAAAAAATTTTAATCGGGAAAAATTTTGAATCCTAAAGAGACCCCTTATAAAAATGGTACAAAAAAGAAAAGACAAAAAGCCGTTTAGGCCAACCATGGTTGCTCTTTGGCCAACCCATAGCCCGACGTTTTAAAATAAGGTAATATAAACAAGAAAGATTTTAAATAGAAAAAATGAAATTCTCAAATTAATTTTAATATGTAATTTCTACCTGATTAAATTCACAACATTTCCAAAGGAGAACAAGAAGTTCTTGATGGAATTCAATTTTCTTTAAAGATTTAGGGAAATAAGTAGCTTGTAATTGATTGTTTAAAAGACGAGTAAAACCCTAAAAATTAATTAAAATAAAAAAATTATTCACAAAAATACCTTCAAAATAAAATCAAAATCTTCTTCTCTATGAATTCTTGAAAGATAATTTATAAAATAATTTTCAGCATAACCATCCTTTTAAAAATAAAATTAAAAAAATTCTTTTTCAAAAAAACCTCTTCATTTTTTGAATGAGAATCTTTATCAAGACATACAATCAAAAATTGTAAAGAAACTTTAACTAAAGGTTCGCGAAAGTCGGTCATTAAAAGATAATTGTATGGCACTCCAAGTCCAACAGGATCATAAGAACAAATTATATTTAAAAGAGAAGTAAAAATTGGGAGCTTAAAATTTTTGGAAAGAAAATTGGGAAAAGAAATTAGTTTTAAACTTACAACGTTACGATTTTCTGCCGAAGTAAAACAAGTTATCCAACGAATTTTTGAAATTTCTAAAATTAAAAAATTAATTTAGAGTAGAAAAAAGAGTGAGGTAATTTTCGAGTGAGCCAAAATGTGAAAAAGAAAGATCGGAATCCTCAAAAATTTTTTTTCAGTAAAATGAAAAATCGTAAAAGTCAAAACGAAAAAATTTCAAAAATAGTTACAATTAACCCCACAATAAAACCAAATTTATCCTAATTGTAAAATATTTTAATTAATGAACTAAAAAATACCTGTCTCCCGATTGTAAATAATCTCAGAAAAACACACTCTAAAATTCACAAATTAAAAAGAAAATTATTTAAAAAAATTACAATAAAAGTTTCAATATCTCAGTTCTATTTGCATCATAAACAGCGCTGGATGGTGGTTTCCCAGCAAAACCAACTCCAGATTGCCAAATATATTCACAACTGTCTATTTTTGAAAGGCTTTTGATATTCTAAAAATTTGATAGAAAAACAAAATTTAAAGAAAAACCGCATTTTTGTCAACAAGTCCAACAGTAAAATTCGGACAAAATAAAAGATGAGAAAGTGAATTTAAAAGCAAACTTCCAAGAGGAGGCCGATTCTCTGTATTTCCTTCTTTCTCGGGCATTTGAGCCCAGAAATAAGCTCGCCATTCGCTCTCTTCAAAAAGAAAAGGGATAACACGTATAAGTAGACGAATACAATTAATTATCTGAAAAATCATTTATGCCTCAAAATAAATTCAAAAAACCTTTCTATGATCAGATTGGGCAGGAAGTGAATTTGGAAGACGTGAAAGGTATCCAATAACTTTGGAAATTAAAGTAGCTAATGCCTTAAATGGAAATATATTAAAGAAAAAATATTTAAAAAAACGTTTGGATGCATATCTCTCAATCCTCTGACATCAGCAGCAGACAAAAAATTAAATAAATCATTAATTGTATTAAATGGAAGAAGTTTATCCCAATCCAAATCTTCGTCATTTGTTAAAGGTTTTGAAGTTTCTTCTACAACAAGTTTGCGGAAATCGACTGAAATAAAAAATTAAAAATATTAAAATATAATTTTAAACCTTTGGAGCTTTCTGTATTGCCCATTTCTCTTGAAAAATATAACAAAGAAGATGAAAAAATTCAAATAATTTCAAAAAATATCAAAAAGTCATTATAAACTTGTATCTAAATTTTATTAAAAAAATATTAAACCGATCAGTGTCATTCATTACAATCAAGCATCAAAATCAAAGCGCAAGTCAGTCCTTCACGCTTATTTAAAAAATCAATTCTCGAGATTAAAAATAATAACAAAAAGTTTTAGCGACAAACCGGCTTTCATTTTTTGGCAAATTTTCTTTTCAATTTGGTAACTTTAATTTATATTCGTTTTCCCAAAATATTAAAAATGCCCAAAATGTCCATTTTTTGTTTCTTTTTTACTTGAATTTTCTTTATCCTTCCTTTCATTTTTATTTCGAATTTTAATTTTAGAAATGTCTGCTCATCGTTTACTTCCGTCTCTTCCTCGAATTAAAGTCCCGATTGGACATATACCCCAACGGCTTAAACTTCCAGGTTTTAAAAATCCAAGAGGACATTTGGAATTACTTCGAATGTTGGTCAATCGTGTCTTTAAAGATGAAAGAGTCGAATTTCGTTATAATCGAGCTGAAGAGTGTCGTCAATATGTGGAAAGAGTTTAATTTTATTATTTTTCTAAAAATCTTTTTTTCTTTTTAGTTAATTCAATTAGGCATTCATAGAGGACTAAATGATGAATATACAAAAGAAATGTTTGATTGGTGGTTTCCTGAAAAGGAATTAATAGATAAAATGTTCAAGTAAGGATTTTATTAAGGTTTTATTGAGGGGAGCTTTCTGGTGTTGCTAGAATTTGTCTGCAAAGTGAGTTTTTTGCGGATTTAGTTTGCGGACAAAATTAATAAGTCAATTTAATGCTAAAGTTTTCGAGAGTTAACCCTAAATTTTTTAATGAAGAATAAATGGTAAAATTCAAGTTCGTTTCCCTTCCTTTTCCTTCCTCAATTTATACAGAATTTGAATATGCCACAGGGAAATAGAGTGGAATTCACGAACAAAGTTTGGCCATCTTGTGCAAATTTACGAAGTAAAAAGAGGGGAGAACCTAAATTTGGTACTACTGAAGAAAAGGGTGCTTTTTCTGCGGACTTATTTTGCGGACTTTTCCTTTCCTTTACATGTTTTACTTGTAGCAACTAACTGTCAACGGCCCTCCCCCATTATTTTTCTTACCTAAGATTGTACACAATGGTCAGATTTTCTTCTTTCTCTTTTCCTCTATTTGCCGTGTGGCATATTCAAACAAAAGACATTGATACAGAGAAGATTAATTTTATTTTTTTCATTTCTGTTTAAATGTTTTGCTTATAGCAACTAACAGTCAACGGATTATTTTTTATGCCGGTCTGAAAAATGTCGTTCACAAATAATTTAAACATTATAAACGAAAAAAATGTTACAATCAATAAAAAATTTTACTTTAACTAAATTGTATGATAAAATTAAATTACCCAATGATGAATTTCAACAATGGATCACTGATCTCGGACAACAAAAAAATACACACCCAGAATATTGAATGCCTATGGCAAAAATTGAAAAGACGACATAAAACTGAATTTGGTACTGCTGAAACAACGTTTGAAAGTTATATGAATGAGTTTGTATGGAAACAGAAATTTGGAGGAGATGACTGTTTTTTTCATTTAATTTCACAAATAACAAATAATCAAAAATATTTGTGCGAATAAAAATTAATCCTTCGACAGTTAGTTTGCTACAAGCTAAAACATTATCTTTTAAAAAAAAGGGAAAAAGAAGGAAAGGAAAAGTCCGCAAAATAAATCCGCAGAAAAAGCACCCTTTTCTTCAGTAGTACCCTAAATTTTAGGTATACTTATTGTTAGGAATAACCCCATAATACTTATTGGTATGAATAACCGAAATAAAATTTTAAAAATTTTCAGTGTTTTTGTTCCTCGTTTTGAAGATTATCCAATTGACGAGCCTTACACTTCAATCTACAGATTACCTTCCATCCGTGCAGAAATTAGAAATGGCAAAAAAGTTCTATATATGAGATATTCCATTGCTGTTTTGGAATTAAAAGGTTTTAATTTTAAAATATTTAAAAACTAATTATTCAAAATTAAGGCAATCCATACCCTTCTATGGAAACACTTGAAGAGAATAGACGAAAAAATTTAACTGAATTTGTAAAAAATGAACTTTTAAAGACTGATGTATCAATGAAATATATTCCAGAGAATCCATATGTTCGGCCACATCCATAAAAAGTTTTTTTTGAATTGTTAAGGTTAGTATTTATGTTTATTTTGAATAAATTTAAATTTTTGTTTTTTTATTTTAATTTTTATTTTCACCTTTTACATATTAGTCGGGAAGGAATTTTTCTGATCACTTTTTAACTTTAAAAATGTTTTTCGATAAAAGAAAAATCACAATTTCTGAATTAAAAACTAATTTTACCCAAGCTTACACTAGGCTTTCTATGTGCTTTAACTAGTATTTTCTAAATTTTTAGGGAAAATGAACCCAAAAACAGAGAGAAACCCCAAAAACATTTCCCATCTAAAATCGACCACCTCTCGAGAAAAAGCTCAAGTTCCCAATTTTAAAATAAAATTTCTCTAAAACCTCAAAAAAATCTTATTTTTATTCTCTAAATTAGAATAAATCTTTAGGCAAAAAGTAAAAACTAAAATTACAAACTAATAATATTTCAATCACAACTAATAAAAATGTAATAGGCTTTGAATTCCTTATACCAAAATTTTGTGGTTGATATGACCTCTCTTCGAGTTCATCAGATAAAAATTCTGAAACTCTTTCCCAGCTTCCATTATTTGGATGGCATGGGTCAACTCCAAACATATTTAGAACTAACTATAAGTGTAAAGGTTTCTAGTAATATTTCACAAAAATATAAAAACCTGATAAATATCAACTATTTCTAATGGTCCACCTTTATATCCAGATTTGAAAGCTAAAAATTAATTGTAAGTGCATTCGTTCAAAGAATGGGTTTTTAAATACTCTCTTCCCTGCTCCCCAATATTTTTAATTCCAGAAATTCGAAAATCAGGAAGTTTCAGAAACTTCAACCAATTTATAAACAAAAACGGGACCTCTATTTTCTAGCGATTTAAAATTAAAAAAAAAAAAACTTTAAAAAACCTACCAGGTCCTCTGGCCATAAAAATGCCTAAAATAGAAAAAATTCAAAAACAAATTTCATTTTAACAAAACCTTGTAGGTCTGGGTTTTCATTATCCCATCCATCCAACATCTTCCATTCTCTTCCAAATTTTTCGCTAACTGAAGTAGAAGGAATTTGCCTCTAAAAGTAATTTAATTTATAAAATTTTTTAAAAAACAAACTGTTAAAAGTTGATATCCAGGTTGTGCAATAAGTACAATTGGTGCAATAAATCGAGAATTCTTTTAAAAAAAATTTACAAAAATTTTTTTTTGTCAAAATTAACCTTCCAATGGAAACGTTCTGGAATTTCATGTTGTCTATAAACTCCCACAGAAGGTTCTACTTCTTTTGTTTCCCCTTCATAATCAACTGATGCAAGATTAGCCCATTGATCACAAAATTTTAATTCAAAGAAAATTGTATCCTTCAAAATTTTTTATTCTCAAAAAATCCCTCAAAAAAACCTCTTCCTCCTCTTCCGGCCAAATTAATGCAAAAGCAAGTGAATTAGCTATTTGTTTAATTTTTGTACTGTCAGCAATACATTCTTCAATATAATATTGATTTTGTTCTTCACTTTTTATTAATCCATGATCGGATAAAACAATTAAATTTGTGGATCTAAGTAAATCCCAAGTCTCCATTTCCTCCTGAAAATAAACTTTGAGACTGAACGGCAAGGTACCAATTTTGAACCAAGCAAAATATAAAACATTCAAAATATACAGCCAAACTTTTTGCCCTTTAAGCACTTAATTCGTATCCCGCTCCCTCTATCCCAAAATTAATTATTTCCTTTCTGTTAAAAAAGTTGTGGATCTAACAATACATAAGTTAAAAAATCATGACATCTCATGTCAGATACTTACTCTCACAATTTTTCTCTATTTCCATATAAAAATATCTAAAAATTATCCTTTTTCTTCTCAATCTTTAATTGACAAGGAAAGGAAGGATTAACTTTAAGACTCATGTCAGTCCTATAGAAGACGTGCTACAAACAAAATACCCTCCTTTAGATTAAAAAAATTAATTTACCTGGATTTTCCGTACTTGTTGGTCAAAATTGGAAAGTTCTTGAACCGTTTGTTCAGAGTCCTCACCATGCGTCCTCAAAGCCTTCCCTAATCCATCATATCGAAGAAGTACTAACTGAATAAAAAAATTATTTGTATCTTCTTTTAAAATTAATTTTAAAAAACCTGTTTTCTATAAACTTGATATTTTTGAATATATTTCATTATGTTTGGAATATATGAATATAAATCATGTTCTTCATCATTTTTAAAACTATGACGTCTTGACGAGGGAACTTGTACAACTAAATCGACATAAGGCATCTGAAAAATTTTAATTTTAGACAATATTCGAATCATAAGAATTTGTGGAGTTTTAAGTAAAATTATTTGAGTAAAAAGAAATATTTTCTTATTGTTAGATTATTCTTGACCTGATTTGTCCAAGAAAATTTCTTCCTTTAAATGGAATATTTTTGGATTGGAATGGGGGTTATCTCCTATCGAATCTTTAAATTTTAATAAATGTGGTTATATTTTGGAGATAAAATTTTGAGTTAAAAAATTATATTAGAAAAAAGGGTAAAACTAACATGGCAAGTAGCAAACCAATAACAATGAACATCAATTCCAGCTTTACCAACCGAATACCAAAAAGGGGCTGGATTTGCCCGCCACCATTTTTCATTTAAATCATCAGCCCCCAGATCTCGTTCAAAAAACAAAGTATTATTTGGATCAAACATAAAGTCGGCAGTGAAATTGTGATTTTCTACATAGAGACCTTAATAAAAAAAGGAATTAATAAAAAAAGAAAAATAGGAATAAAATACTATTTTTCAATAAAATTCTGATCCAAATTAACCTTTTCTGAAGGGAATACCCTAATCCCCATAAATTCAAAATAAAATAACTGAAGAATCGGCTAATTTTAAAGTACTAGGGTAACAAAAATTCATTTTAAATATTATTAGAATGAAAATAATTTAAAGATTTTTAAGAAAAATTTTTAAGGTCTCAATAAGGACAAATAAAAATATGATAGATTCTAACAATAAGCTATGAATTTTGAATTTAGCATAAATTTGCTAGCTTTCAAAATTAAATATTTGACCGAAACATTTTAAAGGCTTATATGACCATAAAATATTTCTCCCTACTTCTCATAAATTATAACAAAATTAGAAACATACCAGTTGCCAAACTAAACCAATTTGGATATGATTGAGTTGGAAAAACAGGAATAAGATAATCTGCTTCTACACCATTCTAAAAAATAATTTTTTTAAAAAAAAAACTAATAAGTATTTACCTCAATAAGCGTTTTAGCCCCAAATTTCATTCTAGAATCAGTATTATTAAACAAATTAGCTCCAAGACCTGAAAATAAATTAAATTTAACAAAAAAATATTTAAAATTACCATCAACTAAAAAAAGTATTAAATTTTGTCCAACCGGTTCTTTTTGTGAAAAACAAAAATTAATTGAAAAAACCACAAAAAGGAATATTGAAAACCTCCACATTTTTTCTAAAAAGATTAATTTATTAAATTAAAAAAATTTATTTTTGACCACTTTTTTGTAAGGCAATAAACGTCTTCTTTTTCACTCACAAACTTTTCATGTGTTCCAATTTTCATCCTAAAATGATTACTTAAATAATAAAAAAACAAGGATAAACAACCTTTTTCATGGTTCATTTTTTTGTTTTGTTTCTCTATTTTAACTCTTTTGCTGGTTCAATTACATCAAAATTCCACCGGAAAGCGACCACCTGATTCGTATTTTTCTGGCTAACATCCATTCTTCTAAACAACAAATGGTGATTGAAAAAATTTTAAAAACGCGAAATGGGAGATGAAAATAAATAGATTATTGAATTGATTTGTAAATAAATAAAAGCAGTTGTGCCCACAAAATATTTTTTTGTTTACTAAAAAAATAATAATCAATTTATTTTTAAAAGAAGAAAAGTTCGGATTTAATGTTGTTTTGTTTAGTGAAAATCAATTAAAGTTTGTTGACATGTTTCTAATCTGATATATTAAAACAAAAAAATCTTTTGATGGAAAAATGATAAAGCATTTAGTATGATAAAGCGATATAATCCGATTTTTCATTAAAAATTTTTACACGTACAAGGGAGAAGGAAAATCATTCAGAAATTCATTAAATGTGAAAGAGTTGACATTTTATTAAAAATGGGTGTCGAATCCGAAAAAAGTAGATCAGCAAATGAAATGTCGGGTCTCATATTCGCAGAATCTATAAAGGATCGTTTATCAAAAAACATCCCAAAACAAAACGCAAATTACACTAAATTTTTTGATTTAATGCTTCAAACCCTTATATGAGATACCAAAATTTTTTAAAATATTATAAATGTTAAAAAAACATTCTTGAAAAAATTAAAAACAATAATTTAAAATTTTATTTTTCCATAAATTTCTTTTAGAAAATAAAGCTTTTATTTTTTAAGGTCAATAAAAGATATAGCACAACACTTGTGACCCTGATTATAGTAAAAAATTAAAATTTGCAATTCAATTTTAATATGTGTAATTTGGAACCAATATCTGTAATTTTATTTTTTCCCCTTCTAAAATAATTTCAAGCCCTTTTAACCCCAATAGTGAGTCACAAGTGTCGTGTCGCATAAATAGCCTATAATATCAACATATAAGTAGAAAAACGTGAAAAACATAAAGAAAGTCCTAAGTGAGGTGAAAAGCTGATAACTTATTCCCGTAATAAATAGAAATTTAAAAATCAAATAAATACTAAAAAACAACCATTAATTAAAATCTGTTCATTCCTTCTAACAAAATTCTTTAACCATTTCTCTAATCACATTTCCATTAACAGAGGTAAAGTCACGAATACAAGTTGAGAGACAATCAGCACCTGCAGAGTCTGGATTCTTCAATGGACTGAATTCTTCTTCACGGGGTACTTGCCAGACCATAAAATTTCTAAAAATAAAAAAATTAGCAGGAGATCTTATGTTTAGCAGGAGATCTTATGTTAAACCCAAAATAGATCCTTATTTTGGGCACCTAAAAACCCAACTGTGGAATCATCTTATTTAAACTATAAAATCTCTTATATCCATATTTTCCCATCAACCCAACTCATCTAGAATACAAAAAAGAACAACCTTCCCTAAAATCACAATCTTATCAATCTTATAAATAAAAATATTTCTATCAAAAACAAACTTTGAATGAATAAAAGCATCAAAAATAAAACGTTCCTTCTTTATGCCATTCTCACTAGTTGGTTGAACGTTTTTTCCAGTAACAGGATCCCAATAAGGTATTCGCTTGCGTGCTTCATGATAAGGCAGAGAATCAAATTCCAAACAAGCTTTTTTAAGAAAGTCGAGAGTAAAAAAGTGATTGGCAATATTCCCAGCACGGAAGAACAATTTCTCCGGAAATTTTGAATCACGCTTTTTAGCAAGTTCTTTTGGGATTTCTGAATATTCCAATACTTTAATTTTTCCATCTTCAACGCAGACATGGCCAACTTTTTCTGATGGATCCTTCTTCTCGATTACCTTAAATTGGTTTTAAACAATGCATTAAAAGGGTTTTGTTTCTTATTCTAAAAGTCAGAAATGTTTTTGAAAGAGGTAAAGGATGTCTTTAGAAAATGTAAATTGCATAACTTGTTGTTATGGCCCATGCACCGAATATATCAAAGAAGCCTAGCAAATCCCTTTGAAACCTATCCCATATATATATATACGTGCCCTTAGTTAGCAAAAGCAAAAAAAACCTTCAAAACACAATCAGCCTTTTTATCAACAGCAAAGCCAATCATATGTAAATCTGGAACACGACAGAGAATATTGTCAACACAATAAACATGAAAGTATTCAATTCCCATTTCTTCAAGTTCTGGAAGCTTTGGCGAAATTGCTTGATAAATACCGCCATTTCCATCTAAAAAATTTTTTCTTAAATCGTTGTAAAATTTCTTTCAAAAACCTGGTGAAGTAACAGGCCGATCAGGTGCAGATAAAAGAGGTTGACCATCAAAATTGTGAGCAGGAATTTCATTTTGAGTAAAAACCATTACCTAAAAATTTAAATATGTATAGACTAGTTTTGCATAATGCGAAAAGTAAAACCGTCGGCCTTTCCCCAGTTTGCCATTTCGGCGGTTTTTGGGGGTTTGTCAATATGGCTTTTTTGCCATAACGGTGCGTTACGTTTACACCCGAAGAAAAAATTCAAAAAACACCAAAAATTTGTAAATACTGGACAAAAACTACGAAACTAAATATTTCTTGAAAAGGAGTTTCCATAAAAATTGTAACAATACACGCACCCTTCCAATTCTATTAAAAAAATTAATACATTTTTCCAATCCAAATTTGTCTTTTTCAAGATAATATCCAAATGTTCACGTATTTTTGCATCTGTCGATTTGCTCGTCATTATTAACCAAATAATTCTTCCTTTGGCCTTCTTTTGGAGATAGCTAATTTGACAAGCTTGTAAAAACAGAAGAGAATCATTTTCTGCCCCAAGTCCAGTTCCCAGGTTAATAATGCCTTTTGGAAGGGAAGATCCAAGTCGACTAGCTTGTCCACCAGCAAGTGTTATCACGGCTAACTTTCCTTGAGAAATGCTTTCGAGACCTACAAAATGAAAGAAAATTTCTTTGAAAATTTTTAAATTAAAAATCATTGAAATACCAATGTCAAAAAATCTATTCAATTCCGTGGCTGAAAACTGTTCACGGTCATAATAACGTTGTTGGTCAATAGGATGAAAATTTTTAAGCATTTGAAACTTAGAATGTTTAAGGCTAAAATAAAACAAAAATTACTTATCAATATGAACATCAAGCCAAATTAATAAAAAAAAGAAAAAAACGAGAAAAGGCCCGATGTTGATTGCTCAACTTTAAAACAAAAAATAAGGCCCAATTCTACTCTGAATCGGTCGATTGGAACCGTCCAGGTTTTATTTTGTCGCGTAAATTTTTCACTTGAATTGAATATGCGCGTCTGATTTTTTAAAATGAAAATTTTTTCTCACGGACCGATTTTTGTGTCATTCGCTTAGCTCAGCTCGATGACGTCATCCGAGTCAGCTCTATCTTAAATAAAAAAAGTGACCACAACTCAATTGATTGATGGTTGAGAGAGAAAAAGGGCGTGCCTAATTTTACATTTTCCTCGCATACATAAAATAATTTTTTCATTTTTAGGCATAGATTTAAAAAAATTTCTACATACATAATACGATGTCCGCTATCAAATCTAAAGATAAAACTGTTAAAAGAAAAAATGTTCAAGTTGCTGTTAGAATCAGGTTCCAATCTTGAAATTTTACCTTTCTCTAATTTTTCGTTTGTATTTTATTCGAAATTAAAAATCTTTTTTAAGACCGCTGAGCGATATTGAACGCTCTGGATGTAACAAAAACATTGTTTCGTGTGACCGTGTAGCAAGGACTGTTTCACTCAAGAATGCAAACTCTTCTGATTCTTCACGATTCGGTCAAGGACAAAAATGTTTTGGACCTTATGATAAGGTTTTTAACTTGTTTTTTTTTTTAATAATTTCAAATATTTTAGATTTTTGGCCCAGAATCTACCCAAATTGAAGTTTACGACGGCGTTCTTGCCCCCCTCATGGGGCAAGTCCTTGATGGTTACAATTGCACAGTTTTTGCTTATGGTCAAACAGGAAGTGGAAAGACGTTTACGATGGAAGGACGACATGATTCCTCTGAAGACTTCGCATGGAACACTGATCCAACAGCAGGAATTATTCCACGCGCACTTGATCAAATTTTTTCTGTACTTGGCGAGGATACTGACTACACTGTGCGCGTCAGTTATGTTGAATTGTACAATGAACAAATTTTTGATTTGCTAAATCTTCGTTCACAATTGGAATCATTGAGAATTTTTGATGATAAAACTAAGGTTTATTTTCAATTCGAAAAAACGCGATTAAATTTCATTGTTTTGAAGGGAGTATCAATTGCTGGTGCTGAAGAGGTCATTGTCCGCTCACCAAAGGAAGTTCACGGATTGCTTAGACGTGGAGCTGAGAAGCGTCGTACAGCTACAACCCTTATGAACATGACATCTAGGTTCTTTTATACTTATGTTTATCCATAACTATATTTTGCTTATTTTAGCCGTTCTCATTCTGTCTTCACTGTTTCTGTTATGGTGAGTATTTGAAAATCTTTTTAATTTTAATAATTGAAATTAGATTCGAGAGCCAGGCCTCGTAAATGGTGAAGAATTGCTTCGACAAGGAAAGCTTAATTTGGTGGATCTTGCTGGTTCTGAAAATATTGGACGTTCTGGCGCGACAGATATTCGAGCTAGAGAAGCGGGTATTTTTTATTTTTTAATTCTGTATATTTCTTAAAAAAGGAAACATCAACACAAGTTTGTTGGCGCTCGGACGTGTAATCAATGCATTGACTATGGGTGCTTCACACATTCCTTATCGCGAAAGCAAACTGACACGTATTTTACAAGATTCTTTGGGTGGCAAGACAATTACTACAATCATTGCAACAATATCTCCAGCTTCGTCAAACTTTGAGGTTTATTATATTTTGATAAAATCAAAATTTAAATAAATTTCAGGAATCTGTCAACACTTTGGATTATGCTCAAAGAGCTAAGAACATCAAGAACAATCCAGAAGTCAACCAACGAATCACGCGACGTGGCCTTCTAAAAGAATACAACGATGAAATAGATCGCCTTCGTCGTGATCTTCTCGCTGCTAGGGAGAAACATGGAATTTATTTGGATAAGGAGAATTATGAGTATGTGTATTTTTTGAATTTTCATTATAAATAAAATAATTTTTAGTGAAATGATTGAGTCAATAGATGAGAAAAAGGCAAAGGTGGAAGAATTGGAGACGCAACTTGAGGGCAAGCTGCGCCAAGTTCAAATTGTAAATTTTTTTACTTTAGAATACGCTTATTCTTTTAAAAAAAATTTTTAAGTTGCTTGAGGACTTTGCTGTCATGGATCAACATTACAAGTCAATTTATGAAAAATTTCGCTCTGCATTAACTAAACTGGAAAGCAGAAAGGAAGAAATTGAAGAATTAAGCCTGGTAATTATTTTTAAAGTCCAAGGAAAAATTTTTTCATTAAAGGAAATCGCTCAAACGAAGGATAATTACAACGCTGCGTCGCAGGCTCTTTCAGTTTCTTGTGATTCCTTTGTTCGTCTCAGATCTCAAGCAATGAAGGTTTTTCTTTAATATTTTGGGTTGTCTAAATTTTATTTTTAAGTTGCAAACGTATTCTAATGGATTGTACAGCCAAAACGGATTGCTTTTCAACAAGATCGATGAAGTGGTTCGTTTCTTTCTTAAATTTTTGATTTTGTTTAAAATTATAAAACAATTTGTAGTTGACAACATTCGATGGAAACTACCAAAAATTGAAAGGGCTGTTTGATGGTCAATGCAAACAATTTGAAATTGGAAGAAATCAACTTACAAGCTTCACTAGCAAGTCAGAGATACAACTGAATGAGGCAAAAACAGCTGTCTGTGCGTTGAAGGAAATGTCCGATCAATTTGAACAAAATATTGAAAAGGTTAATTTTTTGCAGAATCTTTTTAATTGTATTTCCATCACATTTTTCAGTTTACCCAAGAATTCCGTGATCGCATGAATCAAGAATTGGATTCTCTCAAAAATGTTGCGACTGAACATAAAAATGAATTCGGAAAGGCTATTCACAACACATTGTCGACAATCAATAAACAGGTTTGTAAAAGTTTTCAAAAATTTGAATAATAACAAAAATTTAGGTTAATGATTGTGCGTCACATTCATCAGAAATGTCACAATTATTCGACAACACTACACAAAAGATGGAGAATTTTGTTGAAAAGGAATTTGTTCAAATCCAGTCCTCAGGTTATTTTTAAAAATGTCTCAACTTTGAAATTTAAAATTTTAGGAAAAACTCCAGAACGCAAAATTGGAAAATTCACCGAAGTGCTTATCAACCTCCCTGAAGCTGAAAAACTTTTTGAAGAGCAGAAGGGCTTCATTACTCCCAAAAAGAATGTCAACTATAAACGTCGTGATTCATTTTTGGATTCTTCATTTGTCTCATCACTTGTTTCGCCTGATACATTAAAATGTAATTTGCAAGCAACAACCATGGTTAGTACAACAAAAACGGGAAGACTTGAACCAGTTGATGAAGAAAAGAAGAATGAATGTGGTACTTCTTTAAGCTTTAAATGATTTTTAAAAGAAAATTTTATTAAATGCGTATAATTTTGTTTTACTTATTGACTTTCAAAAAAATTTTTTCTGTCCTATAATTGATGAATTTCTATGAATTGATAAAGACTTTTGCTCAAAAAATTTTTTTTGAAAGGTAGAAAAGTTTTAAAACTTTGCCTTATCTTTAGATACTTTGAAAATAAAATTTTGACGAACCCTACAAAACTCGTCTGGGGCTTAGGAGATTTGGAGTCCTTTTTAGTCATTTTTGAACTATATCATCCCGAGCCATTTTGTCGAATTTGACAAAATGGCTCGGGATTATTTCGCCAAAATTGGATTTTGGGAGTTGACGTCATCCGACTGCCTATAACTACAATTTTTAGAACGTTAATTTTAAATTTTTAGAAGACTTTTTTCAGCTTTCATTCTTTCAATGGATTCTTTACTCGAGGTACAACGTACTTGTCACGAAGAAAGGGAAAGATGTGTTGATTTAATGGTTAGAGAATATTTGGTTGAAAAGAAAACGGTTAATTTAATAATATTTTTTCCTAAAAACTTTTTACTTTCAGCAACGAGAAAAGATCAATTCTGACCAACGTGTTAAAGGTTTAATTGATGTTAGTATTTTTTAAAGTTTTTCTATTTATTTATTTTTTTGTTTTTCAGAGATGTAGAAATGCTACAGATAAATTAATTAAAATATATAATGATGAATCTGGTGAACGTGCTAAAGAAATTCAAGCTATTGGAGGACCAAATGAATTTGCTGAATTTTATTCTCGTCTAAAATCACTCAAAGACATTCACCGAAAAAATCCGAACGAGACAGCTCGTCCTTTAACGATAGAATTCCAAGAGATGGCTAATTTTGTACAAGATCCAGATAAAATTGAGAGGGAAATGGTTCGCTTTACGGACGAGGAAGGCTACGGGAAATTTTTGGATATGCACACTCTTTATGAGCAATATGTTAATTTGAAAGGAGTTAAGGTATATTTTTATTTGATGGAGTTTTTGAATATATTGTGAGGTTGGACTGTGTTTGGCGTGACCTAGGTTTGATTTATCTAGAGATCTGAATCCAGACTTTGATTTTTCGTGGATCCAGAGTCAAGAGGAAAGGGGAAGAGGAAAGGGACTTCCCTTTTCCTCAAGAGGAAAAGGGAAGTATTCTTTAAAAACTCATTTTGTTTATCAATTTTTTATATTTTTATTTTAGCGTATTGATTATATTACTTTCATCTCTACATTTAATCAATTACATGAAATTTCGAAAGATAAAACTAAAAAGACTGGAGCTTATAAAAATTATGTTTCTTCTCTCGAAGGATATTTGACAGACTTTTTGCGACGTGCAAAACCTTTAATTGATATTGAAGCGGAACTTTATAATGCCGACAATGTTTGATATTTTTTTATTTTTTAAATGAATTTTTTAGGAATTCGAAACGAAATGGAAAGAGGGTAAAGTGCCTGGTTGGTCGACAGAGAAAAGCACTGGAAGTTTATTGGCTAAACAACCAATGGCTTCGGCAGATCTTGATTTAGCCAAATATGAGACGGTAGATGAGCTTATGGAACTTGGGAGTGATCGTTTGAAATCGGCGCTTCTTGAGAGGAATTTGAAATGTGGAGGGTAAAGATTTATATTTATTGTTGGGTTTTTTCACTCAAAACAATTTTACATTCTGACTGTTTTCGGGATCCATTCCTCCGATTGGAACTTTTCTATTTAGGCTGTATTTAAATTTTAAATAAAATCATTTAAAGGTCATTAAAGGAACGTGCCCAACGTTTACTTGACTTCAAAAATGCTGATCAAAATGGTTCTGCTGCAACAAATGGTGCATTAAAAGCAATCAAAAATGGTGTAGACAAAGAAGAGAAAAGAAAATATGAACTTGCTAAACACGAAGTTCATGTTCTCAAGTTTGTTTTAAATTTAAATTTTTTAACAAAATTTTTCTCTTTTCTAAGATTAACAGAATTAGTAAGACCTGAAATATCAGCAACTTTGGAAAATATTGAAAGAAAACAGGCTAGGGGTGTTGGGGAGGAGGAAGAAGAGGACGACGTTGAAGAATTTTATGAAGTTGAAGAAGAAGAGACTGATGTTCCTTATAACCCAAAAAATCTTCCTTTGGATTGGGATGGAAAGCCAATCCCCTATTGGCTTTATAAACTTCATGGCTTGAATATTGGATATAGCTGTGAAATTTGTGGAAATCAAGTTTATAAAGGACCTAAAGCTTTTCAACGCCATTTTACGGTTTGGAGGGGTTTTAAGGGAAAATTTTTTTGTTATTTTAAGGAATGGCGTCATTCTCATGGTATGCGTTGCTTAGGAATTCCAAATACTGCACACTTTACAAATATTACAAAAATTAATGATGCTATAGAGTAAGTTTAAATGTTTTTTTTTATTTTTCTTAGGAAATATTTTTCGACCAAATAACAAGGAATAGAATGTTGAGAAAATTTTTGAAAAAGAAAATAGCCCCTTTAGTTGGGGAGGTAAACCCATAAAGCTTAAATAATTTTAATTTTTCCTTTGATATTAATTTTTAAAATTTAAAAGGCTTTGGAAGAAGATATGCGAGGATCGAAGTCGAAATAAATGGAATCCGGACCTTGATGAAGAATTTGAAGATTCACTTGGGAATGTGGTTAATCGAAGAATGTTTGAGGATCTCAAAAGACAGGGGTTACTTTAAAAAATGTATTAATGATTTTATTTGACATTCAATTTTTTATTTGTATAGCAACAATAAAATTTGTTATTAATTTGTTTGTAATTTTTTTCTCATGCGGTTTCCAGTCCGCAAGTTTTATCCACAATAAGTTTATTTTTTCTGAAGATGATTATTTTAAATATTTTGTTATTAAAAAATAATTTTCTTGTAGATATTTATTTCACCAGTCCTCGCAACTATTTTTATCTGATCCTCTGACGAAAGCTTTGTTGGCTAACGGTTAGACACGATTCAGCGCCCACGATTCAGCGCACACGATTCAGCGCACACGATTCAGCGCACACGATTCAGCACCACCACGATTCAGCGCACACGATTCAGCGCACACGGTTCAGCGCCAGTTATAGTTCAGCGCCAGTTATTTAGCAAAAAATAAGTAAAAATCATTGTTCTCGTTTTTTTATTAACTTTTTTTTATCAGCTTTTTTTATTAACTTTTTATTTTTATCAACTTTTTTTAAAAGTTCTACATATTTTTTTATCAACTTATCAACTTTGCTTCAATATTTTTCTTTTCATTTCAAAAAATTTACGCGGAAAAAAGTTTTTGCCGCTGCGGAGGAAGCCGGGCATGTCGAGCGGAACGACGGCCGCCGCTTCGCTACGGTCGCCGCGAGCGAAGCGAGCACGACCGCAGCGAAGCACGGCCATCGTGTAGCGAAGAGGGGCAACATGTTAGAGAAGAGGGGCAACATGTTAGAGAAGAGGGGGGGGGAAGAGGGGGCATGTTAGAGAAGAGGGGCAACATGTTAGAGAAGAGGGGGGGGGAAGAGGGGGCGAAGAGGGGCAACATGGCCATCGTGTAGCGAAGAGGGGCAACATGTTGTAATCTACTCTGAGACGCGTATGGAATGGCTTGTTTCTGCTATTGCTTGTTTTAAATCTGGATTACCAAGTAATTTGGATTTTTTGTTAAATAAATTTTTGTGGGTATTAAATTTTGGGCTCTGCGAGCTTGTCTCAAAATATAAAAGTAAAAATAAACAAAACAACTGAATCAAATTTTAATAATTTAAAGAAAATTGGGATCAGGGGCTGGCGCAATGGACATCTAAAAACGCAACGCTAGGCCAAATTTTAACGCAAAACGCATTGCGCCCGCCCTGATTCGGATCCCCGGCTTTATAAATTTTTAGAAAAAATCTGTGAATCTTTCTAAATTAAGAAAAAAATTTAAGTTGTAACTGTCTACCCAACTCTTGGTGAAGAAGCAATTGCATATGCTATGGGTGAATGTGATGGTGTTGCTGTATTTACTTCTCGTGCTTTATTACCAAAAGTCTTAACTTCCATCAAAAAATGTCCAAATATCAAAAAAATTATTTATTTCTCTGAAATGATCCAACACTGATCCAACAGCAGGAATTATTCCACGCGCACTTGATCAAATTTTTTCTGTACTTGGCGAGGATACTGACTACACTGTGCGCGTCAGTTATGTTGAATTGTACAATGAACAAATTTTTGATTTGCTAAATCTTCGTTCACAATTGGAATCATTGAGAATTTTTGATGATAAAACTAAGGTTTATTTTCAATTCGAAAAAACGCGATTAAATTTCATTGTTTTGAAGGGAGTATCAATTGCTGGTGCTGAAGAGGTCATTGTCCGCTCACCAAAGGAAGTTCACGGATTGCTTAGACGTGGAGCTGAGAAGCGTCGTACAGCTACAACCCTTATGAACATGACATCTAGGTTCTTTTATACTTATGTTTATCCATAACTATATTTTGCTTATTTTAGCCGTTCTCATTCTGTCTTCACTGTTTCTGTTATGGTGAGTATTTGAAAATCTTTTTAATTTTAATAATTGAAATTAGATTCGAGAGCCAGGCCTCGTAAATGGTGAAGAATTGCTTCGACAAGGAAAGCTTAATTTGGTGGATCTTGCTGGTTCTGAAAATATTGGACGTTCTGGCGCGACAGATATTCGAGCTAGAGAAGCGGGTATTTTTTATTTTTTAATTCTGTATATTTCTTAAAAAAGGAAACATCAACACAAGTTTGTTGGCGCTCGGACGTGTAATCAATGCATTGACTATGGGTGCTTCACACATTCCTTATCGCGAAAGCAAACTGACACGTATTTTACAAGATTCTTTGGGTGGCAAGACAATTACTACAATCATTGCAACAATATCTCCAGCTTCGTCAAACTTTGAGGTTTATTATATTTTGATAAAATCAAAATTTAAATAAATTTCAGGAATCTGTCAACACTTTGGATTATGCTCAAAGAGCTAAGAACATCAAGAACAATCCAGAAGTCAACCAACGAATCACGCGACGTGGCCTTCTAAAAGAATACAACGATGAAATAGATCGCCTTCGTCGTGATCTTCTCGCTGCTAGGGAGAAACATGGAATTTATTTGGATAAGGAGAATTATGAGTATGTGTATTTTTTGAATTTTCATTATAAATAAAATAATTTTTAGTGAAATGATTGAGTCAATAGATGAGAAAAAGGCAAAGGTGGAAGAATTGGAGACGCAACTTGAGGGCAAGCTGCGCCAAGTTCAAATTGTAAATTTTTTTACTTTAGAATACGCTTATTCTTTTAAAAAAAATTTTTAAGTTGCTTGAGGACTTTGCTGTCATGGATCAACATTACAAGTCAATTTATGAAAAATTTCGCTCTGCATTAACTAAACTGGAAAGCAGAAAGGAAGAAATTGAAGAATTAAGCCTGGTAATTATTTTTAAAGTCCAAGGAAAAATTTTTTCATTAAAGGAAATCGCTCAAACGAAGGATAATTACAACGCTGCGTCGCAGGCTCTTTCAGTTTCTTGTGATTCCTTTGTTCGTCTCAGATCTCAAGCAATGAAGGTTTTTCTTTAATATTTTGGGTTGTCTAAATTTTATTTTTAAGTTGCAAACGTATTCTAATGGATTGTACAGCCAAAACGGATTGCTTTTCAACAAGATCGATGAAGTGGTTCGTTTCTTTCTTAAATTTTTGATTTTGTTTAAAATTATAAAACAATTTGTAGTTGACAACATTCGATGGAAACTACCAAAAATTGAAAGGGCTGTTTGATGGTCAATGCAAACAATTTGAAATTGGAAGAAATCAACTTACAAGCTTCACTAGCAAGTCAGAGATACAACTGAATGAGGCAAAAACAGCTGTCTGTGCGTTGAAGGAAATGTCCGATCAATTTGAACAAAATATTGAAAAGGTTAATTTTTTGCAGAATCTTTTTAATTGTATTTCCATCACATTTTTCAGTTTACCCAAGAATTCCGTGATCGCATGAATCAAGAATTGGATTCTCTCAAAAATGTTGCGACTGAACATAAAAATGAATTCGGAAAGGCTATTCACAACACATTGTCGACAATCAATAAACAGGTTTGTAAAAGTTTTCAAAAATTTGAATAATAACAAAAATTTAGGTTAATGATTGTGCGTCACATTCATCAGAAATGTCACAATTATTCGACAACACTACACAAAAGATGGAGAATTTTGTTGAAAAGGAATTTGTTCAAATCCAGTCCTCAGGTTATTTTTAAAAATGTCTCAACTTTGAAATTTAAAATTTTAGGAAAAACTCCAGAACGCAAAATTGGAAAATTCACCGAAGTGCTTATCAACCTCCCTGAAGCTGAAAAACTTTTTGAAGAGCAGAAGGGCTTCATTACTCCCAAAAAGAATGTCAACTATAAACGTCGTGATTCATTTTTGGATTCTTCATTTGTCTCATCACTTGTTTCGCCTGATACATTAAAATGTAATTTGCAAGCAACAACCATGGTTAGTACAACAAAAACGGGAAGACTTGAACCAGTTGATGAAGAAAAGAAGAATGAATGTGGTACTTCTTTAAGCTTTAAATGATTTTTAAAAGAAAATTTTATTAAATGCGTATAATTTTGTTTTACTTATTGACTTTCAAAAAAATTTTTTCTGTCCTATAATTGATGAATTTCTATGAATTGATAAAGACTTTTGCTCAAAAAATTTTTTTTGAAAGGTAGAAAAGTTTTAAAACTTTGCCTTATCTTTAGATACTTTGAAAATAAAATTTTGACGAACCCTACAAAACTCGTCTGGGGCTTAGGAGATTTGGAGTCCTTTTTAGTCATTTTTGAACTATATCATCCCGAGCCATTTTGTCGAATTTGACAAAATGGCTCGGGATTATTTCGCCAAAATTGGATTTTGGGAGTTGACGTCATCCGACTGCCTATAACTACAATTTTTAGAACGTTAATTTTAAATTTTTAGAAGACTTTTTTCAGCTTTCATTCTTTCAATGGATTCTTTACTCGAGGTACAACGTACTTGTCACGAAGAAAGGGAAAGATGTGTTGATTTAATGGTTAGAGAATATTTGGTTGAAAAGAAAACGGTTAATTTAATAATATTTTTTCCTAAAAACTTTTTACTTTCAGCAACGAGAAAAGATCAATTCTGACCAACGTGTTAAAGGTTTAATTGATGTTAGTATTTTTTAAAGTTTTTCTATTTATTTATTTTTTTGTTTTTCAGAGATGTAGAAATGCTACAGATAAATTAATTAAAATATATAATGATGAATCTGGTGAACGTGCTAAAGAAATTCAAGCTATTGGAGGACCAAATGAATTTGCTGAATTTTATTCTCGTCTAAAATCACTCAAAGACATTCACCGAAAAAATCCGAACGAGACAGCTCGTCCTTTAACGATAGAATTCCAAGAGATGGCTAATTTTGTACAAGATCCAGATAAAATTGAGAGGGAAATGGTTCGCTTTACGGACGAGGAAGGCTACGGGAAATTTTTGGATATGCACACTCTTTATGAGCAATATGTTAATTTGAAAGGAGTTAAGGTATATTTTTATTTGATGGAGTTTTTGAATATATTGTGAGGTTGGACTGTGTTTGGCGTGACCTAGGTTTGATTTATCTAGAGATCTGAATCCAGACTTTGATTTTTCGTGGATCCAGAGTCAAGAGGAAAGGGGAAGAGGAAAGGGACTTCCCTTTTCCTCAAGAGGAAAAGGGAAGTATTCTTTAAAAACTCATTTTGTTTATCAATTTTTTATATTTTTATTTTAGCGTATTGATTATATTACTTTCATCTCTACATTTAATCAATTACATGAAATTTCGAAAGATAAAACTAAAAAGACTGGAGCTTATAAAAATTATGTTTCTTCTCTCGAAGGATATTTGACAGACTTTTTGCGACGTGCAAAACCTTTAATTGATATTGAAGCGGAACTTTATAATGCCGACAATGTTTGATATTTTTTTATTTTTTAAATGAATTTTTTAGGAATTCGAAACGAAATGGAAAGAGGGTAAAGTGCCTGGTTGGTCGACAGAGAAAAGCACTGGAAGTTTATTGGCTAAACAACCAATGGCTTCGGCAGATCTTGATTTAGCCAAATATGAGACGGTAGATGAGCTTATGGAACTTGGGAGTGATCGTTTGAAATCGGCGCTTCTTGAGAGGAATTTGAAATGTGGAGGGTAAAGATTTATATTTATTGTTGGGTTTTTTCACTCAAAACAATTTTACATTCTGACTGTTTTCGGGATCCATTCCTCCGATTGGAACTTTTCTATTTAGGCTGTATTTAAATTTTAAATAAAATCATTTAAAGGTCATTAAAGGAACGTGCCCAACGTTTACTTGACTTCAAAAATGCTGATCAAAATGGTTCTGCTGCAACAAATGGTGCATTAAAAGCAATCAAAAATGGTGTAGACAAAGAAGAGAAAAGAAAATATGAACTTGCTAAACACGAAGTTCATGTTCTCAAGTTTGTTTTAAATTTAAATTTTTTAACAAAATTTTTCTCTTTTCTAAGATTAACAGAATTAGTAAGACCTGAAATATCAGCAACTTTGGAAAATATTGAAAGAAAACAGGCTAGGGGTGTTGGGGAGGAGGAAGAAGAGGACGACGTTGAAGAATTTTATGAAGTTGAAGAAGAAGAGACTGATGTTCCTTATAACCCAAAAAATCTTCCTTTGGATTGGGATGGAAAGCCAATCCCCTATTGGCTTTATAAACTTCATGGCTTGAATATTGGATATAGCTGTGAAATTTGTGGAAATCAAGTTTATAAAGGACCTAAAGCTTTTCAACGCCATTTTACGGTTTGGAGGGGTTTTAAGGGAAAATTTTTTTGTTATTTTAAGGAATGGCGTCATTCTCATGGTATGCGTTGCTTAGGAATTCCAAATACTGCACACTTTACAAATATTACAAAAATTAATGATGCTATAGAGTAAGTTTAAATGTTTTTTTTTATTTTTCTTAGGAAATATTTTTCGACCAAATAACAAGGAATAGAATGTTGAGAAAATTTTTGAAAAAGAAAATAGCCCCTTTAGTTGGGGAGGTAAACCCATAAAGCTTAAATAATTTTAATTTTTCCTTTGATATTAATTTTTAAAATTTAAAAGGCTTTGGAAGAAGATATGCGAGGATCGAAGTCGAAATAAATGGAATCCGGACCTTGATGAAGAATTTGAAGATTCACTTGGGAATGTGGTTAATCGAAGAATGTTTGAGGATCTCAAAAGACAGGGGTTACTTTAAAAAATGTATTAATGATTTTATTTGACATTCAATTTTTTATTTGTATAGCAACAATAAAATTTGTTATTAATTTGTTTGTAATTTTTTTCTCATGCGGTTTCCAGTCCGCAAGTTTTATCCACAATAAGTTTATTTTTTCTGAAGATGATTATTTTAAATATTTTGTTATTAAAAAATAATTTTCTTGTAGATATTTATTTCACCAGTCCTCGCAACTATTTTTATCTGATCCTCTGACGAAAGCTTTGTTGGCTAACGGTTAGACACGATTCAGCGCCCACGATTCAGCGCACACGATTCAGCGCACACGATTCAGCGCACACGATTCAGCACCACCACGATTCAGCGCACACGATTCAGCGCACACGGTTCAGCGCCAGTTATAGTTCAGCGCCAGTTATTTAGCAAAAAATAAGTAAAAATCATTGTTCTCGTTTTTTTATTAACTTTTTTTTATCAGCTTTTTTTATTAACTTTTTATTTTTATCAACTTTTTTTAAAAGTTCTACATATTTTTTTATCAACTTATCAACTTTGCTTCAATATTTTTCTTTTCATTTCAAAAAATTTACGCGGAAAAAAGTTTTTGCCGCTGCGGAGGAAGCCGGGCATGTCGAGCGGAACGACGGCCGCCGCTTCGCTACGGTCGCCGCGAGCGAAGCGAGCACGACCGCAGCGAAGCACGGCCATCGTGTAGCGAAGACCATGCCCGGCCTACCCTCCGTAGCAGCACAAAAACAGTTTTTCCAGCGAAGATTCTGTTGGTCATAACTTTGTTCATAATTACAAATCAACTTGGTCTCGGTAATTTGACTCTGTTCGTCGAACTCATGCAAATGAATTGATGGGCGCTGAAACGTGCCTTCTATAACTGGCGCTGAACCGTGTGCGCTGAATCGTGTGCGCTGAATCGTGGTGGTGCTGAATCGTGTGCGCTGAATCGTGTGCGCTGAAACGTGTGCGCTGAATCGTGGGCGCTGAATGATACCCCACCGGTTGGCTAAATGTCCATTGGCAAAATGTCTTCTATGATGATGAAAGCCAAACGTTTCAGTCGCTTGGCCAGCTAAGGTAAGAGACACAATTACCTCCTTTTTAATTTGTTTTCAACGTGTGTATGACTAATGGAGGTTCCCCTCATGATTTCTCAACAACTGTTATTCGCTTAGGGCCAATTGTACTTTTTTATTTTTAATTTCTTAATTATTTTCTTTTATCTTTGCTTGTATATAGTTAAGATGTTTGCGCTAAATTTTAACATTTTTGATTTTTTATCTTTAAACTAATATTTGCTTATTTTTTAAAAGTAATTTTAATGTCGTCTTTAGTCTTTTTTCTAGGCAAAGAAAGTCGTATAATTTTTGTAGTCGACTATGTTGTGGTCGCATATGTATTTTTCGTAGTCGTATATTTTTTTATAATGTAATTTTAATTTAAAATTATAGACCTACTGGGGGGGGGGTATTGCAATAGGCCCCTAATCTTCGGTTTTGATTTATTAAATTATAAAGTCATATAAAAGTTTTCTTAAAATTACCAATTCTTTTTAAAACCTTGAATCAAAAAAAGTTAACATCCTTACCTTGACTCGGACTCTTTCATTTTATATAAATTATAATTTTTCTGTTTAATACATTTCTGTTTTTATTTATTTACCTTTTTTGCACGTTAATATCATTCCCGTTATTTTCATAATTTTTAAAAAGTTTTTAGATAATTTTGTTTACTTAAAAGTTATTTTCTTAAATAAAAACATATTCTTAATTCGTTCAATTGGCAAAAATGCCAGACCGGAAGGATTCCGCTGTTGTAGGTGAAAAGCGAATTGAACAAGAATTGGTTGAACAAGAACGTCCTTTTTATATTAGTGCTCTAGCTGCTTTTATGAAAGTTTAAAATTTTTTTGTTTTTTATTTTTATTAATTTTCAGGTTTTCTTTATTTTTTATGACGCTCTAGTTTTTGTTCCGTTCAAAATTTTTGCTGACCCGGAAAAGAAAGTGGAACGTTCTCGTGAACTCAAGGTTTTAAATGTGAAAAGAAAAATTGTAATTTGTTTTTAAAGGCCCGTCCTGTTGATGAAAACGATCCAGGCTCTCCTTGGCGACATGTTGATACTATTGATGGCCCGTTATATTCTGAACTTTTTGAAGGATGCAATACTTTGGGAAAAATTTGGGATGAAGCTGCAAAGTCAGTTTTCTTTGATTTTTTCCGATTTTGACTTGTCAAGTCTTGTTATATTTCATTTTTGTTAAACCTTGAAAACGGGCTGTCCCAAAACTGACTTTTCTACCCCAATCTTTAACATTGAAATCCCTAAAAAACTAATTTTTTGGTGTTTGTCTTCTCGTATTAATATAATTGTTAATTTATTTTTTACATAGACTTCATGATGGACTTACTTGTATGGGAACTAGAACCGTTGTAGAAGTTTCGCAGGAACGTCAGGCGGATGGTCGCACTTTTCAGAAATTAATTCTTGGGGAATATGAATGGGTAAATTATGAAGATGTTGATAATATGATTACTAATGTAACGAGAGGTCTTTCTATAATTGGTGTAAAAAAGGGGCAACATGTTGTAATCTACTCTGAGACGCGTATGGAATGGCTTGTTTCTGCTATTGCTTGTTTTAAATCTGGATTACCAAGTAATTTGGATTTTTTGTTAAATAAATTTTTGTGGGTATTAAATTTTGGGCTCTGCGAGCTTGTCTCAAAATATAAAAGTAAAAATAAACAAAACAACTGAATCAAATTTTAATAATTTAAAGAAAATTGGGATCAGGGGCTGGCGCAATGGACATCTAAAAACGCAACGCTAGGCCAAATTTTAACGCAAAACGCATTGCGCCCGCCCTGATTCGGATCCCCGGCTTTATAAATTTTTAGAAAAAATCTGTGAATCTTTCTAAATTAAGAAAAAAATTTAAGTTGTAACTGTCTACCCAACTCTTGGTGAAGAAGCAATTGCATATGCTATGGGTGAATGTGATGGTGTTGCTGTATTTACTTCTCGTGCTTTATTACCAAAAGTCTTAACTTCCATCAAAAAATGTCCAAATATCAAAAAAATTATTTATTTCTCTGAAATGCATACAATGCGTGAAACAGCAGATGAAGCTTCTGAAGAAATTAAAAAAGCGTTTAAAGATGATGGACGTGATTTGTATTCTTTTCAATCTCTTCAAGATATTGGGAATGATTTTCAACGTTTGTTTTCTTAAAGTTTTTCCCTTTTTTTAGTTTTTCTCTTCTAATTACTAACCAAAATTAATTTTATAATTTTTATTTTAGAGTTTTCCGAATGGTATGTAAATCCGGACGATTTGGCAATGATAATGTATACTAGTGGTACTACTGGAAATCCTAAAGGCGTTCTTCTTTCACATCGTAATATAATTTCTGCACTTTCTGGACAAAGTGTTGTTATCCCTGTTGAGTAAGTTTAACAATTCTTTATCAAATTCGAGCTAGGATTTAATTTAACAAATTTACGAAGGTTTAAATTTGTCAAAAATAAACTCGTCTCTCTTCATTTAAATTGAAATTTTTCTTTTTAAGCAATAAAGATACTTATATTGGCTATCTTCCTTTGGCACATATCCTTGAAGTTTGCGCTGAGCTTGTTTGTTTAGCAAAAGGATGTCGTATTGGTTATTCTTCTCCAACAACTTTATATGATCGGGCAATGAAAATTAAAAAGGGTTCGAAAGGAGATTGTGGTGAATTAAAACCAACATTAATTGCTTGTGTTCCTGTTAGTTTTTTTTTTGAAAAAAAATTTTTAATTAAAATAATTTTTTAGGCAATTATGGATCGTATTTTTAAAGCAGTTTCTGATGATGTGAAAGAACGTTCGCCTATCCAGCGTGAATTGTTTCGTATTTGTTATGAGAGAAAACGTAATAGATATGAGGAAGGATATACAAGTTTGGTTATGAATAGGTTTGTTTTTTTGGATTATTTCTTGTGTAATAAGTTAAGGGATCTCTCTTTGTTGAAGATGTCTCTCTTACATTGCGGGGGTTTTGTTGATCAGTTTTCATTTAGATCTATGCCTTAATAAAGGTCGAGATACTTCTTAGAGTTCTAGATTTCCTTCTAATTTGCTATTTTTAAATTTAATTAAAAATATTTCTTTTCATTTTTCTTTTTAAACAGACTTGCTTTTGACCGTATTCGAAAAATTCTTGGTGGAAATTTGCGTTTTGTCCTTTCTGGCGGTGCACCTCTTAATGCTGAAACTCAACGATTTATGAATATTTGTTTTTGTTGTCCAGTTGTTCAAGGCTATGGTTTGACAGAAACTTGTGGCGGTGCTTCTTTGGCTGATGGTTTTATTTGTTAATAATTTTAAAAATAATTATTTTGTTGTTTTTAGAGCATGATTTGAGTACTGGTTCTGTTGGCCCACCGCTTCGATGTTGCGAGATTATGCTTAGGGATTGGAAAGAAGGTATACTCTTTTTATTTCTACTATCTTTCTCTAAATATTCCATCCTTGTCGTATTGAGACTTGGGCTCAATTCTCTTCTTTTTGACTTCATTTTCGACAATGGATCTCTGAAAGGACATTAAACGACCAATTTCCCAACAAAAAGATTTTTAAATTCAAAAATATTTTTTCTTAATTTTAGCTGGTTATTCACCTTACAATAAACCTCCACAAGGTGAAATTTTAATTCATGGTGACAATGTTGCGAAGGGTTATTATAAAATGGAAAGGACTGAGGACTTTATTGAATTAAAAGGAAAGAGATGGTTTGCAACTGGTGATATTGGAGAATTTCGTGAAGATGGTTCTCTTTGTATAATTGGTTTGTTTTTTTGAAAAAGTCAAAAAATAATTTTATCTAATCCTTCTTTAGATCGCAAAAAAGATTTAATTAAACTTGCTCATGGAGAATATATTTCTTTGGGAAGAGTGGAGACTTCGCTCCTTACAAATCAACATATTGACAACATTTGTGTTTATGGAAATTCCCATTATGATTATTTAATTGCTTTGGTTGTTCCAAATCAGAAAAATCTTGAAGCGTTGGCAGAAAATGTAAAATTATATATTTTTGGGTTTTCATAAAATTTTAAATTTTAGAGTGGAATTGATGGGATGCCTTTTGATAAGTTATGTGAGAGTAAGGAATTGTGCATTATTTTGCAGAAAGAATTGCAGGACTTTGTTAAAGGTTAGTCTCTTTAAAATAAATTTTTAGACTCTGAAAAGTTAATTTCGTTATAAAATTCTCATTTACAGACAAACTCCGCCGTGATGAAATTCCCAAAAAGATTTATATTTGCAAAGAGCCTTGGACCCCAGCATCTGGTTTGCTCACAGAGGCATTTAAACTTAAACGGAAGAATATCGAAAAAGAATTCGAGCAGCAAATTAAAATGCTTTATGGTGATAAAAGTGGAGTCTCAAAGGGTTAGGAAAACAAAAATTATATTGCTCATGCCTCATTATATTGTGTAACTCTATAATCCTCAAATATTTCTTCCTTTTTTCGTTTTTCCCCAAATTATAATAATAAATAGTACATTGTACGTTTAAATATTGATCTTATTATTAAAATAATATTCCCCCTATTTCTTTTTGTTTTTATGCCAAAAATTAAATTGTAAGTCTGCAAGGGCGCAAATAAAAATGTAAAAGTTTTGAATTATTTCGGATTTTCAAATTTAAACGGAAAAGGATTTCTGTTAGATTCGCCCTTAATATTATATAGACAATTATGCCAAATAAAAGCTAAATATGTTGGTGGACTAGTTTTATTTGGTTCATTGTCAGCAATAAATTAAATAAATTACAAAAATAAATTAAATTGATGATTTATCTTAAAATACTTGAACGAGTACTCAAAAACCCTAAATCTCCTCTATTTTTACCGTTACATTCCAAACCATTTGTAGTTCCATTACATCCCATACCAGTCTCAACAATATTACATTCAGTATCAGTACCGCTCGTAAGATGAGATCCCAACCTTATAAATTCGCTTCCACATGGGTTTAAATAAAATATTTGTCCACTTCGGGTAATTGCTGTAGAGAATATTCCAATTGTATTGTTTGGCTATTAGAAAAGGGGAAATAAATTTTAAATAAGAATTTAAAAAGAAACCTGGACAAAACTAATTTTGTGAAGGCACTTTGGATTTGTTGGCGATATAAAAAATATTTCTCCCCTATTTGTTGTAACTGCTAAAAACTTTTCTGAATTTGGAGTTTTCTTTGCTAAAGAAAATTTAAATTAAAAATTTTTTAAAAGACTTTTTCTTCTTACATTCATTGTTAAGTAGAACTGTTGTTGCTTTTCTAATTCTTGAACCTTCCATTGCTGTCATTCTATATTTGAAAGTAAAAGATTTTAGATTTGGCATTGTAAATGATCGAATCTGTTCTTCGCTAAAAATTAGGAGTCTTGAGTTTGGTTGTTGATGAAGCAATTCAATTGCAGCAATGGGAGCGTGATGTCGCAGACGAATTTCTTTAAAGAAATTTTTAACGGATTTTACAAAGGAAAAAATTGTGGAGAAAGGAAACTTATGCAAGTCAACATTTAAGATCGCTATTTTTCTGTTTATATAAAATTAGTATAACTTTTCAGGGTCATTTTCCATTTCCCATGCTGTTATTCCCTACCATCTTATTCATGAGGAAACAATTTTATGTCTTTACTAACTAACCTTTAATTAATTGACAACGTTCAGTATTCACACAAGCATCAGGCCGAATTAAATGAATTAGAACAGCACCACCTTGTGTCCCAACAAAAAGATATACTTCTTGATGTGTATTAAATGGGGAGAGAATACATGTCTCAAAATTGAGTATTTTAATCAGAGAATTTGGTGTTTCTCCATCTAAATTAGAATTTTAGTAAAAGAAAAGAAAAAGGAAAAAAACCTAAAGCATTTGGATTACGTGATCTCTGCGTAATTTCTCTCTCTTGACGATGCCTATTTTGTTGTGCTGATATAATTCCTCCATTTTCCTTAAAAGTAAAAAATAAATTGTAAAATTTTTTAGATCCAATTAAACCACAAATCACATCGAAAAAATATATCTAAAAACCTACTATTTGTTCTGCAGTTTGTTTCTTCCTTCTAAAAGACTGCCTTATTGACTTTTTAACACTTTTAAAACGAGAAAGAGCACTATCCTTGTTTGAAATTTGAAGTACATCTTAAAAAATGAGAAAATTTTCAAGTTGATTCTATTAATTTGATAAATTCATTTAAATAAGATTAGACCACACAAGGGTGGTCTTTTACAAATCACCAAAAAGAGGCATGGTCTCTCAAAAAGGGGTGAAATCGGTCAAAATGGGGCAATGTTGAAAAAGGCGAGAAAAGGGGATGAGGAGGTCAAAAAAGGGGAAACCCCAAAAAAGAGGCAAAAGAAACCCTCTAGCCCAGGCTCCCAAATGACTAAAAATTTGTAGTTAAAAAACCTTGAGAGGACATTAAAGTTTTAATTAAAAGCAATTTTCGTTCTCTAATTGAACAAACAGCATAACCAAATTCATTTCCAGCAGCTAATACGCCTAAATTAAAATTCCAGGAAATTGCCGTTACTGGAATTGGAGGTTTAAATTGGGCTATTACACTAAAAAAAAAGGAAAGTTTTTATAAAAAATATAAAATTTAAACTTGTTATAAAGGCAAAATCCATGTTCATAATCTAATGGAGAATTTCTAGGTTGAATAGCAGATTCACTAGCTTTTAAATTTTCTGTGTTATTTCCACTAGTCATGTCAATTAAAAGTAGTTGGTTAGCAGGTGAAGTCTAGAGAATTATTATTTTAAATAAGAAAATTTTTAAAAAAAATTTAAAATTAAAAGCAATTTTCGTAATAATATGTATGTAAGCCTTCACCATTAACATAAAAGAGATTTTTGGGAAAGTCTTAGTGAACTCTTCATTCGATTAAAAGGATTCGATAATACCCATTGGTATCATTAAAAAATATCCCTCTCTAGTGTCTAAAAATTTTTTTACCAAAATCAACACCTAATGTCAAATTAAAAAATTCCAGAAAAGAAATATTTCAACGATATCTTATTAAATTTACCAAAATTTTTACTCAAAATCGAAAAAATTTATTTCAAAATTTACCCTTTTCCACAAAGTCTCAAAAACCATTAATTGCCCTGCCTGTCCCCCAACTGCAAACGTTCCACTTTTTGAATCAAAATAAATTTTTTGTATACAAAGACGATGATCATCAGAAAAAGGATCAAATATTCCTCCCTTTAAATATTTTCCCTCAATTTTTCAATTTTTAAAAATTAAAAAACTTTTCGAATAGGTGGAATATGTTTAATATTTTTATTATTCTCTTCGTTATTTTGGGGATTTTCTTCTTCTGACTGATAACCTTCAAACTCTTTTGCAGTATTACAAACAAGTAATAAATTAAAATTTAGATCGTTTGCCTTCCAAACACAAACATTGCCATTATCATGTCTAAAAATTAATTTTCTTTTAAGAATGAAGGAAGGAAAAATTTTTCAAAAAATAGGGAGAAGGAATTTCAAAATTAACGAAAAGAAAAAATTGTTAGGAGCTAGGTTACACTCGGCTAGCTAGCTTCTCAGCTAAAGCAGCAGGCTTGGAAAAAAGAGAAAATCAATCGAAAATGGAATATCTATAAATTTTTCATAATACCAAAAAATATTAAAAAATAAATTCATACCCTGTTATAATTAAAAAAGAATCTTGATCCACGCTTTTCGAAGTAATTTGTTCTCCTCCAAATTGTTCAAGAGGCCATTTATTTGATGAAAATATTTTTGAAGAATTTTTCTTTTCAACTGATATTTGTTCAAAAAGTGATAAAATTTGTTCAGAAATATCAGAAATTGCCAAAACACAAGTAACGGGAGAAGAATGTATTGGGTATAAATAAGGTAATGAAAACATTCTCCACAAAGAATCCTTCAAGTCTATAGCTACCAATTCGTCTTGACATAATACAAATAAAGCTTTTGCTACTCCTATAAATGTAATTTAAAAAATTTAAAATAATTTTAAAAAATAGTCAGAGGGAGAAAAAACTTCAAAATGGAATTTTATATAAATAAAATTTTCTGAAAAAGTGATAATATTTGAAGGGAAGGCATCGAAATCAATCCCTGATGATCTGCGCAAAGATACCCTAATTATTTTTGCATTTCCATTATTCAAAAGTAAAAAAATAATTCAATAAGGCAAAGTTATAGTGATTATTCTATTAGGAAGGTTTCAAGAAAAAGGAGCTTCCGGTGTAGGAATTACTCAAAAAAATTAATTTTAATTTATTTCTACCCATTTTTCCTAAACCAATAAAAAATTATTTAAATAAATCCTTAAAATAACCTTCTTCTTCAAAAATTTCAAAATTAATAATTTCACTGTCAAAATTGAGTATCAAAGAATTGTCTCCACAAAAAATACAAATTGGATTTTGACATTCCAAATCATCGGGAACTCCTCCAGAAAAAATAACAAATTGTTCAAAACTAAAATTTATTAGAATAATTTTTAAAAAATTAAAAATTAGAAAAAAACCTTTCATTTTTTGAAATTAAAATTTTTGACATTCTAGTAAAATTAGTTCCTTCAAAATAACTTTTTGGTTTTAAAATAATTTCAGAATTGTCATCAGTTAAATTGAAATCAAAATAAAAACCATTAGAAAAAGAACAAAAAAATGGGTGAAAAGAAGAGTCATTGCAAATACTCTAAATTAAAAGGAAAATTTAAAAAATATCTAAAGAAGAGGCAAAATCCCGCATCCCTATCTTCAATGATATTTTGGTCAAAAGACGCTGACTTTTATGAAAACATACCATAAAGTTGGTTTAAAAAGTAGCCCGGGAATGATAAAAACTTTTTTAGAAACAAAAAGAAAATATTCTAAATTGCATCGAAAATAAATTGAGTCGTCAGAAAAATTTTTTAAATTAAAAAAACCAAAAAAGGAGAAAAACTAATTTCTGTCAACGACGAAAAAAAGAAAATAAAAATTAAAAAATAACCGTGATAGCGCAAGAAACAACAATTTTGTTCAAAACAACATTTTTAGCATTGTCAAAAACAATAATTATAAAATTATTGAATAGCAAAACAATTTTATTTTCATTTAAAGAATTAATGGAGATGTCGGTAATTGATCTGTTTTGTTGTGTTTTTAATTCCTCAACTCTGAAAAAAAAATTTTTAAAAATTAAAAAAAGTAAAAGAAAAATACTTGGACAAAGCTGTATTTTGAAAGTTGAAGGAAAAGTTAAAAGTTGAAGGAGAAGCCCAAATAGTGTAAATATTGCCAAAACTGGTTCCTTCAAAAATTAAATTATAATAAATGTTCTAATAGAAGCCCTAGGCGTCTACATATTTTTCAAAAGGGTATCATTGAGTGGGTTTCTAATAGGGCATGGGCTTTTATTGGAACCGGGCATTGGAACATTCACGGTATTTATTTTTATTTGCCAGGAAGTTTTTAAATTAATTTAGAATTTTTGAAAACAAATTTCTTGAATAAAATTAAAAGGAAATTTAAAAAAATTTTAATTTTGAGTTTTTAAAGTAACCGTGAATGCGCCGAAATGCCTGGCGATAAGTTGAGAATAATTTTGATTTTAGAGAGGCTTGGCCCACGGAAAATAATAAAAAAAAACAAAAAGGCCCCCTTTTTGTTAAGAAAAACAAGAGAAATTAAAGAGGGAATTCAGAAAAATCCATCTTTTCAGAGCCCATTTACTTGTAAGGTGCTAAAATGGCAATCTAAGCTACACTATTTTCGTTTCGGGTAACAAAAAGGAGGAAAGAACAAAATAACCCAAAACTCTTTATCTCCCAAAAATAAATTTAAAAGAATAACCTAAAAGCAAAGCAGAGCTTCCATTTTCATTCAAACATTTGCAACATTTAAAAGATTGTGAAGTATTATAAATTTCATTTGGCATTGGATCATAATCTTTAATTAATTTCAATTCATTATTAACAATTTTGTAGAAAAAGAATTTAAATAAAGCAAATTTTGTTTTTGTAAGGTCATTGCAGCGAATAATAATAGTTTTGGAAGAATCCAGAAAATAAACAGAAATTATTGGAAATTCAATTTGGATATTTATTTGGGAACAATTTGGTGTATATCTTTAAAAAAAAGAAATTAAATTGAATATAAAAAGGAGAAGTATTTTTTGATTAAAAATAGTTATAGCCTATGTGGAGGATGTGGAGTGGAATGATGGTAAAAGCGAAGCTTGGCCATCGCTAAAAAAGGACCATGCATGCCTTACCCTCTGTATCTGGACTAGAGATTGGCCAAAACGTGGATTAAGATCCTGATTTTAACGGAATCCAGAGTCAATATCAAGGCACATGTTCCTTGATTCAATGTTAAGAATCTGGTCAAAGCCCTCAACAAAAATTAGAGAGCGGGCCGGATCTGGATCCAGACCTTGATTTTCCCTGGATCCAGAGTCCAGATCAAGGCATTTTTCAGAGTTACTTGATTTTTCCTTGACTCAAGGTCAAGAATCTGGTCAAGGTACCCAACCAAAATTAAGGCTTTTTAAAAATCTCGCTCTCTAATAAAAATCAAGGGTTTTTTAAAATTTCGGATCTCTAATCGGAATATAGTTTTGAATAAAAATTTCAAAAAATATTTAAATAAAAATAAAGTATTAAAACTATTCAAAAATAATCCCAAAAAATTCCCCCAAAAATATCAATAGTTTTAAAAAATAAATAAAAACATACATTTGCAGCCTTCCATCTCTAGTTCCAATTGCTAAAAATCCAAAACTTTTACTTAGAGCAAAACAAGAAACTCTTTGAGGAAATCCATATGTTGAAATCTTTTAAAAAATAAAAATAAATTAAATTAAAAAAGAAAACCTTTTTGCAAGTAACAACATCTTTTTGTTCAGAATCTTTAATTTCATAAGAATTTCCAATTCGAGAACGTAAATAACGAAACATTTTTAATTAAAATAAGAGATTTTTTGTCAAAAATAAATTAAATAATCCTGAGATATCTGTGAAAATATTTTGCAAAAAATTTAAAAAAATTTGTCGGAAGGTGAATGGCAATCTGCGCCAAAATGGTCGCGCCAAAACGATCCGCGCCAAACTGTCAGTTTCTTTACCTGAAGAGGACTTTTCATCGCTACAGTTCCAGTAATAGAGAAAGGAGCTAATTTTGATTTTTTGAATCAGAAATTGGATTAACTAATTTAAATTGTAAGATTCGCTCTCATCAACACATTTAAACACATGTTTTTCTAGTCTAAAAATTGTCATGGGTTCGAATCCGAGTGGAAAAAATAATTTTTTATTTTCTTGAAAATGCAAGAGTTCCAATTCGAGAACGTAAATAACGAAACATTTTAAAGTAAAAAAGAGACACTTATATTAAATTAATGTTGAAGTACCTATGTGAAATAGTTAACACCCAAAAGAAGTAAAAGGGTAGTTGGGAATAGTAAAAAAATGTCTTACACAAACGGCACTGTTGCCGTTAAAAATCCTGAAAATTTTGAAATTTTAACTAAAATAATTATTTAACACAAAAAATTACGATTATTTAATACAACACATTTTAATTTACAACTAATCCCCATTTTTTCACGCAATACATCAAATTTAAAATTACGGTATCTCAAATAATTTATACTTAATAAATAATGAGATTTTGAGGTTGAAAAGACTTATAAGTCTTCTTTCCATTAAAAAATAATATTTTCAACCTCAAAATCTCATTATTTTTAATAAATTATGTCTGAGATACTGTAATTTTAAATTTGATGTATTGCGTGAAAACGTAGATAATGTGAAAAGAATGAAAAATTTTATTTACTTTGCATTAAAAAATTTTATTTAAAAAATTATTATTTAATATTTTTTCTATAAAAATTTCGAATAAAGTGCAGTCTAGAGCTGTTTTGAACTTCTGATTCGGGTCGGATATGCAACCTAAAATTTAGGATATTCGGATCCCCGGTCCGAACTTTTTAAATCTTGACTCCAGCTCATAGCAGATGAATTCTTGGCTCCGGCCGGTGATTTTCAGAGCCGCTCTCTTAATATTTCATCCTATGATTTGGGTGGATTAAGAGGGATGTCGGTGGATTTGAGTGAATTATGTGGGATGTCAGCGGATTCTGAGGATTCTAGGGATTAACAAAAATATCGGGAGATAAACTTATAGCAAATTACTTCCTTTTTTGTCCCGCAGGCGATAATTACCGTTTTTTTCAAAAAAATTTTTTTATTAACTACCCTTAGTGGTGACTACTGCTAAATCATTGATGCCCCCAAAAAGGGAGAAGGTGACAATTTTGAGTGAAAATTTTTGTTGATATGACGAAATTTCACCTGCGGCGCTCTGGAGATTTAAAAACCCTAAAATATTGTTAAATACTTTGTATGTTTAAGCTAGAGCATTAACCAAAATAAAATGATTTTGGGTTTGAAGTAAATACTTAGGTAAATATTTTTATATTTTGGTAACAAATTCCAAAGAATGTCGACGAAACTTTAAAAAAATTTTTTTGACTAAAATTACATTATCTTATTTCCAGACATCTTTCAGCTTCATTATTAAATATAGCGAATCCCTTATATTTCTTCCAAATTTAAAAATTATATTTTTAAACAATGGTAAATTCTACATATAATTCTTCAACTGATTTGGTAAAATAATAATATATTTAGACAATTTTTTCAATTTAAAGTGGTTTATGTATTTTCAAAGCAAAACAGAAGGTTATCTTACTTTAATTGAAATGTATGGAATTCGTTCAATTATTGCTTTTGTTGCTTTAATATTTAATTTGTCATTAATTTATGTTACTTTAATTAAAAAGTAAATAAAGTTTGAGATTTCGATTTTGTATAAGCAGACTAGGCAAGCACCCTGAGCCTTCGGGGTCATCCATATTACTAAAAATGTCCGAGACTGAAAATTTTCCGAGACTTATTGTTAGACTAAAACTTCATGCCAAAGCCTAGACTTAAAAGAATCCAAGAGAAGTCAAGGCTGAGTTGAGCCTGGACATCTTTATTAATTACCCCCCTCCAGCGAGAAATTGAAAAAATAATTACTCAGAGTTGTCGATTTCACCAATTTTTTGGCTAACCGAAACCACCCCAACAAACCAAACCAAAAATCTTCGTCTTTTCGGTTCGATTTGGGTTGAAACTGACAAATCTACACAATGTATAATGTATTTTCCCACTATTTTTTTCATTTTCTCAGGTCTCTCCACACTTTTTGCCAAATACTTATAGCTTTGGAAAGTTTTTTTGGAATATTTTTAAATTTAAATTATTTTGTTAGCTTTGTTTTGGCTTTAATTGGACAGCCATTTATTAAATTTGTTCCTTGTTTTTGGATACAAATTTTGTCGATTATTACAGGAAATAATGCACAAATGACAATGGTTTTGATTGGTTTTGATCGTTTATTTGCAATTAACTTACCTATTTGGTAGTGATAAAAATATAATTATTTTTGATATAAAAATTAATAACTTCACCCATTTATCAAAGTTTTAGCATTCCTTGTCAAAATTAATTAAAATTTAACTCCAATAAGACTATCAAAAGATCAATCTCTATGTTTAATCCCTTTCTTTTTTACTTCTAATATCTACCTATTAGATCCCGGCCGGAGGGGACTACCTATTTTGTATTGTAACCTCTCAGCCTAGCAGATAAAGCAAAAATGGAATGAAAAGTGGTTGAATGGTTAACAACCCTATATCTGAGAGGTCTCAGGATTAAATCCTGTCCAATTTTTTGCTATTTTCTGGGACGGGTTCAGTCGCTTTACTATAAAATAACTCATTTTAACTTTTGATTAATTTCATCCTTTAATTTCCAATTAACTTTAATTATTTAGGTATAAAAATAGAAATACAAAGTTTTACACGTTGCTAGTTGTGGCAATTCTAATTTTTTATGCCGGTTATCAATTATTTCTATATTTAAATGTTTTGGCAGATACAGATGGAGAAATGTTAATATTTTTCTATTTAATTGTTCCAAAGATTTTAATGAAAAAAAATTAGAGAACACAATAACCACCTCTCTATTCAAAAACAAAAAAAAACTCAAAAATCAAAAAAAATCCCTTTTCTCTTTAAAAATTTTTAAATTACCAAAATAAATTTCAAAAATATTATTTTTAAAATCTAGTTTGGTTACTTGTTCAAGTTATGATATAAGCCGTGGAAGTTGGTCTGTTATAATGTATTTTAATGGAATTACTCTTAGTTCTACATTAATGATTACTTATATTTTAATTTGGATTTTAGTTTTTTTAAGAAAAAATTTGGGAGGAAATGGTAACAATAATTTATTTTATAATGTAGATTTTGGGTAAAAAATGGGATATTCATTTTTTATCAAAATTAAAAATAATTTCCATTATAATTAAAAAAGATTATAATTAAAAAAATTTACTGGCAATAGAAGGGTGTAGAGAGACAATTGGTAATCTGATGGGGTTCTGGACTGTATGTTGGATAATTTAGTTTCCCAGCTAGTGCCAAGAAAAAACTTTTGCCCCAGAACATATACATATTAGAATTTCACCGGAAGTTCCGGCGTTTTTCGGTTCCGGTTCCGGGAACCGGAACCAAATAGGATTCGGTTCGGATCAAAATATCGGTTCCGGTAAAACACTAAAACATACGTATAAAATCCAAAAATTTATTTTTCAAAGCTGTTTCAACCTCAAATCGTCGAATTATAAAATCTTTATTAATTATTATGATTGTAAATCTGATTGGTGTTTTTATAAATAATATTTTAAAACAATTTTATAATTTTGTGGCTGTAGATGTTGTTACAAAGAATTTTATAACATTTATTAATTCTCATTTAAGTATTGTTGCTTACAGTTCGAATGCACCTGTTCTTTATTTTGTTAGGTAAAAAAATTAATTTTTTAAAGAAAAACTTCGAAATTCCAAAACTCATTCAAATAACTTCTTTCTTTAAATTTTCAGTGAAAAATACCACGCAGCTTTTAATGATTGCTTTCCTTTGTTAGCCTATTTAAGTGGATCATCGAGTCATTCAAACAGAGTTGGAGCGACAACAACTACCCCAGCAATTGCTGTTAATCCTCCTTTACCCAAAAATGTTAATAATAGACCTCTTACAGTGATTAATTCCTAATTTTATTTTGTTGAGGATTAACAAGATTTCAGTTAAAGGAAAAAAAATTTTGGATTAAAATTTAATTTTGTATATATTTGTGAATTTAATTGTAAAGGCACTTTTCTTTGTTCAAAATTTAGTAAAAAATTGTTTAAAATTTCCCTATGAATATAATTTTGGGCACATTTTGTAGCTAAATTTATCCTCTTTAAAAATGAATTATAATTTTGATTCTTAGAGATTTTACAATAATCATTATTATTCTAAAGTAACCATAACCACATAACTTTTTATTTAAGAAGAAACAAAAAGGCAAAAATGGTAAACTTTTAATAATTCTCATTTTTAAAAGAAATAAATTGAAAGACAGAGTCAATAGAAATGTAAAAGATGCCATTTCTTTCAATTTTCAAAAAAATCATTATCAAAATCTATCCTGTAGATAACTGAATATACGCGGGTACTATCTATCCGTTTGCAGGCCTACTTTAATTTTTTGAATTTTATTATAGTTTATATTTTGCTCATTTATATTTAGCCTAAAAGAAAGCTTGGAATGATTAATTCTTTATACTTTTTAATTATCCAAACCAAAATTTTACCATAATTTTGTTAAATTAAATAAAATCCGGACTTTATTTACCTTATATGATCAATTAATTACCCTCTCTCTCTCAAATAATTAATC